TCCACAATTCCTAACAGCCGGTAGGCTGTTAGGAATTGTGGGAGTCAAAGTCCAAAACACCTGGAGGACCAAAGTTTGCCCATGCCTATTCTAACTCCACCAAGGTGTACCAGGAAGATGATACAAGAAGGTACTGAGAAATATATTAAGATCATTGTGGGAAACCTGCAGCTCCCAAAGTGGTGGGCTCCATACTCCCACCAGCCCCAAACAGCATGAGATTAAGGATGAAGTTCAGAATGCAGCAACCTTTCCGAATTTTCTATTTGAGGCTGCCATGCCATACATTCTTCTTCTGGTATAAATTTATTGGTGTTTATGTCCACACAAAGATGTATGCATGTGCCTTCCAGATGTTTCTGAGTCACAGCAACCCTAAGGTCAATTTACCATGGGGTTTTCTGTGGCTGGAAAGTGTGTGACTTGCCCAAGGTCACCAAGTGGGTTTCATAGCTGAGCGCTGAATTGAAGCCTGGTCTCCACAGAGTCTAATGCACAAACCACTACATCATGTACCTCTCCTCTTTGAAATACTGATTGAAATATATCAGTTTCTTCCTGTGAAATGTAGCCTACAGCACCTGGCATTCACTGGTAGTTTCCCATCTAAGTGAAACTAGAGCTGACCCTCCTTAGATTCAACATTCAAGATGGGCTCTGGTGCTATTTAGACCTTTTCATATAATCATACAAAAGCTTAAATTCTGCAATTATAATCACAAGCTGAAATGTTAGTGAACACTGTATCTGTTTTTTTGCCAACACTGAATAAACATGCTGGACTCAACTTTAAATATTTTTGTACATCCAATGTAAGAGAATTATGAAGCCTCCAGGTAGTTTGGATTGCAACTATCCTAGCATTGGTTTGTTGTGAGTTTTCCGGGCTGTATGGCCATATCCCAGAAGCATTCTTTCCTGACATTTCACCTGCATCTATGGCAAGCATCCTCAGACCTCACAAGAAGGGCGGTATATAAAAGTAGCAAATAAATAAATAAACTCTACGTGGGGCTGCCCTTGAAGACGGCCCGGAAGCTTCAGCTGGTTCAGCGTGCGGCAGCCATGTTACTAACTGGAGCGGGTAGCAGGGAGCACACAACGCCCTTGTTGTCCCAGCTCCACTGGCTGCCGATTTGCTACCGGACCCAATTCAAGGTGCTGGTCTTGGCCTACAAAGCCCTAAACGGTTCCGGCCCAAAATACCTTTCTGACCGCATCTTGGCCTACGAGCCCACGAGGACCTTGAGATCGTCTGGGGAGGCCCTTCTCTCGATCCCGCCTGCATCACAGGCACGGCTGGCGGGGACGAGGGAGAGGGCCTTCTCGGTGGTGGCCCCCCGGCTGTGGAACACTCTCCCGGCACACATCAGACAGGCGCCCTCCCTCATGTCCTTTCGAAAAAGCCTTAAGACCTGGCTGTTCGAGAGGGCATTTAATTAAGTGCTAAGCAACAATATTACGGCAATGAGAACTGGAATGGTATAAGGACTATGAGACTGACTATGATTCTACTAAGGAGACGAAGCGGATTTTTATGTAGTTTGTATTTGTGCATAGTTATATGTTGTTGTCACTGACTTTTGTAACTGTCTTTTTATGTGTACTGTACACCGCCATGAGTCGCCCGTAAGGGCTGAGAATGGCGGTTAATAAGTGCATCAAATAAATAAATAATAAATAAATAAAATAAGTGTAACTTTTCAGTGTAACACAGTATAACTCTATGGAAGTTTAGGTACATCCACATAAACCTCACTTGCCTAAAGTCTCCAACAGACCTCAAAACCTCTGAGGATGCCTGCCATAGATGTGTGTGAAACATCAGGAGAGAATGCTTCTGGAACATGGTCATACAGCCTGGAAAACTCACAGCAACCCAGTGATTCCAGCCATGAAAGCCTTCGACAACACACATCCCAGTATTTCTTACCATTGCATATTTGGGACATTAATGGAAATTGCAGTCCAGTGCTATCTTGAGTGCCACGTTTCCTACAGTAATTAAAAGGTAATTAAATAGCAGATATTTTAAAAAACGACTTCACTTTTACCAAGTTTATAACTTTCACTTCAAGAAGCATTTTCTTTATGGAAGTAAACAGCTATTTCATGGATAATAAGCCCTCTTACAAATAGGTGGGTTGAGGGATGAAGGTAAAACAACTTTGTCCTGCTTGTATCATGTTTATTTTCACTATTGCTCATTGAGACCTATCTTTTCTCTGCAGGTTGCTGCTAGACTTGCCTCTTGGTGGCTCATCTTATCAGACGTAACATATTTTGCTATGCTTTGATGCCATTATGCATGTTTTTGTCAGGGCAGTGGATAGGTTTATATTGAATGAAGAGTAAGTGTACAATTATTTCAAGGAATGAGAAAAATACACACACACACACATACATATATATATATATATATATTCCCACATGCACATTGTGTACAAGCACCATACATTAAGAGGTCAGATTTACAAAAAGGTTTTTTCTTTCAGTGTATGCATCTTTAAAAGTATTTGTAAAATCTGCATGTTGTGTTGAAACTATGCTTCCATTACAAAACATAGCCAAGGCAGTGAGAATTTGGTACACTTACAGCACAAACTTATACATGTCTACTGCAGCACCACGAAGACAACATAGACCTAAGAGAGATCATTTTTGGTAAATGAGTTATACTGTGAAAGTGTACTATATACTTCCTTAAATATTGCCTTATGTCAGCATTTTTCTTACCATAATATCTGGAGTAAGCTGTTTTACTTTTCCCAGGCCAAACTTCAACTTCCTAAACTTAGAAATTCCTATTTGTTTTCCTTTTAAAACATTGCCTTATATCTTGTCATCATCCTAGTCTAGAATGGTGCTGCTTTCCGTTTATGTTGACACTCACAAGGGCAATTAGAAAATTCCATCCAATTATTGTAATGTTGGCATCCGGCTTATATAGATCATAGGATGACACATATACACAGTGGCATCAATGCAATTTGAAATATTTGAAGTATTTTCAGGAATAGGAAAAATCTGGAAAATATCTGGTTCAGAAGGTTTAATGCACCTTCTGAAGTCAGGTGCATTAAACCTGACTTCAGAAATATTATTAAGACAAGGCTATGGCAGTCTCTTGCAGCATAATGTCATAATTACCATTGTGTGTTTTTGTTCTGGCTGGAGTCTTTGCCCCAAGCAGTATGTATTAGGCAGAAATTAAACAGGTATAGAAAATGTCTTCATCCTATATAACGAGAAGTCTATTATTCAAGTTGTGCAAACACCGTGCAATGTAGTACCTAGGAGGTACACAAGAAGACTCCATGGCCACTTCATCAGCTTGCTCGCTCATGTCACAAGGCTGTTGCAATAATCATGCAACTGATGACAAAGATGTTATTATGTGGGGTGGTAGTTAAATTAACACATTGTTTCATAAAGCATGAGTGTTGTAAACCATAGTAACCATAGCACATACCTGCAAGTAAAAGGAACACACATTTGGAATGCTCTGGACTCAACGACATAGCTGTATCAAGGTGCAGGTTACTTGTCTAACAAGCTCCAGTTCTGAGAAAAGTGACTGTGTTTGAGGGAATCTGAATAAAATTACTCTCTATTAGAAGCCATGCAATTTAGATGGGCAGAAAAAAAGTCCCCTGCTGGGGTGAGAAAAGTGGTATACAAGTGAAATTAATAAGTGAATGAATGAATGAATAAAATAGAAACAATGCACAGTACTGGGATATCCTGTCAGGAAGAAGTGATCAGAATCCAGTTGCCAGATTCTATAAGGAAGGAAAGCATCAATGCCTTTAATAATTGTGTAGAAAGAATAGTGCATCTTAAATTCTTTATTCTGATTGTTGTCTCATTCTTCCAAACAAGCCATCAAGTAATCCCTTTCTTGCCATACACTGGAATACATTATTCTATGTATTTTCACCCTTGTAGCGGAAGAAGACAAGGTGAATCTCAAATTTGCATATTATCCAATGGCTACATTTGCATGCAGACATCCTGCTAGTAAGGCATTTGAAAGGATCAAATTTCAGGTTGCTATGAAGCTGTGCAAATAAATATTTGGACCTTAAACATATAACTGAGTTTAAAGTTTCACATCATGAGTCATGAGGAAACGTAAGAAACCCAACCCATTTTTGATGTTCTTACATTCAGTAATCTTTTCTTGCCACAGTTATCTGCAAACATGAGAACAAAGAAAAAGAAAGTAGGAAGGAATGTGTTGTTCCTGGAAGGGATGAGAAACCTTTGTGAGGCTAGGGCCCAATTTTGTCCCCCCAAATTTTACTGTGACCCAGATAGCCATCTAGCCTCTGCTTAAGAACCTCCCAAGAAGGAAACTCTACCATCCTCTGAAGCAGCGTATTTCATTTATGAACAGCTCTTACTGTCAGGAAGTTCTTCCTAATGTTTAGGTGAAATTTCTTTTCCTGCAGGTGAATTTGTTGTCCTATGTTATAGACTGCAGAGCAGCAGAAAACAAGCCTGCACCTTTTCAAATATTTAAGCATAGCTATGGGCAATCCCCATAAGAAACAGCCTTCTTCTCTCCAAGCTAAAACATACCCAGGTCCTGGGCCTTTTCTCAACGAGTTTGGCTTCTAAGCCCTTCACCATTTTGGTCACCCTTCTCTGGGCATGTTTTAGCTTTGTCAATATCCTTCTTGGATTGTGGTGCCCAGAACTGGGCAGGTGAGAACCACAACCAGGCTTAAGAGGTATAGCGGTCATGTATTCTTTAACTTGGTCTAGGAAAGGAGAACCAAGGAACCAAACGAGATTGTATTATGGAAAAATCAAGCCAAATTACAAAGAGCTCTTATTTTCTAACATGCCTTACACACCACCCTCTTTTTGCAAGCACTTGAGACATATTTCCTGAATTTAATTTGGGATCAATCCTAATGAGATATCTCCTTTTAAAGATAATGCTGGCTTTGGGGGCCGTCTGATTGAAGAATACGACACATCACAGTCTCTACTGATTTCCATTTCCATTTCTTTATTTTGAATCAATGCCACCATTTTACAACAGGAAAAGATACAGGTTTCCATAATGTGCCATCTCTACCTTGTTTCCTATAGGACGGATGACATAAGAACACAGCCAATATCCTGTTCAGTTGTTGTCTCTTTGAAATCCACCTACATCTCTGTGCACATTGGTAAGATGCCACTTTCAGATAAACTTCAGTCAATGAAAGAGTGAAAAAACAGCCTTCTCCCAATGTATTCATTTTAAAATGTTAAGAACATTTTTTGATCCTGAGAAACAGTCAATTGTTAGGGAGTTCTCATTGTAAACAAATACTCAGAAAGGACTACGAAAGGACAGGCTTGGAGTTGCAAGGCTCTTGCCTGAGATGTGGAAAGACTCCCCCTTCCTAGTTTGAAGTGCTGTCTCTTTTATTCAAGGAGGCAAATGGCAATGCCCAAATAGGACATCCTGTAAAAATATGTTTTTTATAAAACAACAGTAACAATAACAACAACAACATCAACCTGGTCTTTTATATAGTTATTAGCTATAAGAGAAAAGGATTTTTAAAAGTTGGTGATTTTCCCACCTGGTGTTGCTTTTTCCTTTTTTAAATAAAGTTTTACTTCTTGAAGAAAGAAACAGCTTGTGGCCACCTGCTCTATGAGAGTTGTTGCAATGCAGGTGGTGCACATAAATGCTTCCAGAAATCATTGGTGCTTAATGGCTAATGCCAAAGTAACCTTTTCACCAGTTATCCCGTACTTTTATCATTATTCTCTGGCGTCCAACCCAACATCATGAAAGAAGAGCCTGCAGTAACACTAAAGAAGATAATCCATAACAGCTTTAAAATGAGCTAAGGTAATCTGCACTTTAGGCAACAGCAGTTAGGTAACCTGGAAAGAAATTACCAAACCTAGGAGACTGACTGCCATAAAGGATATTTGGCTAATTCACAGAATCAGTTCTCCAAAGTCACAGTTTAGGAGAGATAAGACCAGTTTCTCCCTCTTATAGTCATGAAAACCCTCTGCTTCCCAAACTTGATGCAATTTGTCAGATTCCTCAGACTGCCCAGTATGAGAGAGAGGCAATTCAGATAAGCACGCAAGGTAAGCGGAGGTGACACTGTGTGAAATGCAAGGCCTGTGGGCCGAATCTGGCCCACCCTATATTTTTATGTGGCCCATGAGGCTTTCAATGCCAGGGCAACATGTAATTACATTTATATAGTTTGACAATTACAAATGGCCTTTGAAGGCAATAAGGCTGATGTGGCCCTCAGTGAAAATGAATTTGACAACTTTGTAAACACTGGCAGCCAAGGCCTTTGTGGGATCAAGAGGAAATACTGTTACCTTCTGTCTTCTTCGAACAAATCCAGAGTCTAATCCAAGTGTGCATGCCTTCCAGATTACGTTTTCCTTGCAGGAAATCAGGAATTTTAAGCTCTACTCATGTACAAGTTACATAGCTCTCCTTTGGAAGCAAATTCTCCAAGATGGCTTGAGGTGGAGCACATTAGCTCATATCCCAGAGATAAGGGTTTAAACTATCATTCACATCTATCCCATATATATTCCCTTCCCTCCCCAGCTCATATGCAAGCATTCCATTAAAAAAATTAAAACAGTCTTGAGAAAATCAATTAAGAATCGCACTGATGATTCAGCCCAGACTGAAAAGTTCCTTCTCCACTTGGATTCCATCCTATCTTGTGTGGGCTCAAATGTTTTACTATTTGTTTTTTAAAAAATTAAAAATATCCTAAAGAGGTGAGGAAGAGCACTGAACATTTCAACTCCCCCACTTTAAGTCATTGTTCCCTTGACACAAGGTAAATGTATTTATAAAAAAAGTCCTTCTATGGCAGCTTTTTCAAGTCATAAGAGAATTTCCTCTCATGACTCAATCCCAACATTCTCATTCTCCACAGGAAATTAACCCTTCATTTGCAGAGAAACAACATATCCATCCTTCTTATTTTCAGGGAAGTAAACCCTTTCAGATATACCAGAATATAACTTCTGGAACATGCACCAATTCCCAGGGGCTCGCAAGGAGCCAAAGTGGTTCCAAAGACATTGCAGCTGCCTCTTTGCTCTTCACATGGTCCCGTGACTCCTAGAGCCCAATTCAAACCAGCCCATCTTTTCCCGTGTCAGATCCAGGTCCCGCAGTCTGATAATGACCTCCCCAAGGAGGATGTTTTCCCAAAAGCCCTCTTCACTCAGGACGCTGAGATGAAGCTCTCGCTGGTGGAGGTCGCCTTTAGGAATGCCATCATAGACAAGCTACAAGATACAGAAAGTTTCAAGATATAAGCATGCTTTCTACCTTTCTCATTTGAAGAATCAAACAAGCAGCTGCATAGAATAGCACAAGAATGTTAGTGCAGTAATTTCAAGCACAATGTCAATTGCATTGTTTTTGTGTACTTCCCTTATGCATATGAATCTTAACACAAACAGGCCTACATTCTGTTGTTACTCCCAAACAACTTACAGAATTAATACACATATCAAAAATTCACAAAATAAAATTTTAAAGCAAGATAAAAAAATTAAAAAATAAAACACATTAAAAACATATATCTTTTTTTTTTTGGTTTTTCAGCTTTTTAAATTTTTTTTATTTAATTATTTGACATATATCCTTAAACAAATCACTGCAACAGTTAGCAACACCCAGTGCATCATTTTGGTGGGATGGGCCCTATATAATTTAAACAAGGAAGATGTTACTTGTCTGTAAAAAGTAGGAAGGACATTTGTCTCACTTTGCCTGAGTGAAGATTGATATATATGGGGGGGGAGGGGGGAAGGAATCCCTTTCAGTTACTTATTATAAATGGGCTTTTTCGGAGGACTGCATCAAAGTATTGGCTTTTCTTAGATAATGTCCAGGAACAATATTCTAACCTAAGCAAACCAAACAATACTTTTTAGTTTTGCGAATCCCCAAATTCCTCTGTTCCAACCTCTGCCTTCCATTGGGCCATGGTTAGGCAAATTGTGGCTCCTAAATTGTTGACTATAAATCTCATCACCCTTCACCACTGGCTAAACTAAAGCTGATGGGAGCTACAGCTCAACAATATCTGGAATCTGTACACTGTACACTTCTGCTTAGAAGCTTCTTGTCTGTCTTATGCCTCAATCTGTCAAGTCAAATTACAGAGGAACATACCATTTCATTGTAAGTTGGGTTGCAGGTTTTTCGAGCAACTTTGGTTTTTCTCTTGGTAGTTTTCTGGGGGTCAGGCAGAAGGTAAATTTTGACATAAGGGTCGGGATCACTGCCATCCTGAATAGGCTGCTGAAAGAGACAAATGAAGCCAATCACAGTTAGTTGTTTTTACTACACAAGGATGCAGAGGTGCTGAAAAGTTTGGTTAGCAGCCACTGCTGAGAAATCCATAGCTTAACACCTACCAGACCTCGGATGTGCATCACCATGATAAAGAGCTTGTTGTTCTTGTAGGAGACTGACAGCTTCACCTCCCCACCCACTTTTCCAACAGGTTGGGACCATGTTGCATCTAAAAAAATGAGACAATGTCATTTGCATACTGGAAAAAAATCATGATGCTCAGAACAGGGAAATCCTCCACCTCCCTATGAAATGTTTTATCATATGATAAAAATATTAATGTTTATTTTTATCTTTCATTTTAGATATTTATATAAATACAATATCCATTCCAATATCAGCATGACATAATGATTCCCATCTGATTTTACTTCCATTTTAACCATCATTTTTTCTTTCTCTTGCTTTGTACATTACATACAATGGGCCTTTTGTATTCATTGGGATTTGTTTCCACGACCCTCTGTGGAAATCAAAATCCATGGATGCTCAAGTCTCATTTAAATAATGCTGAAGTAAAATGACATTCCTTATTTTTAAAAAAGGGCAAACAACTGAAACAAGTGCTGGAAAGAGCCTGAGTACATTTAAAATGGCAGGAGGCTACAGCATGGCAAAGTCAAGATTTGCTTTTGGGATTCTTTTTAAAAATATATTTCCAAGGTTGGTGAATTTGTGGATACAGAACCATGGATAAGCAGGAATAACTGTACCTTATAATCTGTCCCACAGCACCACTCTAAATATCAGTCCAGATTATCACAAATATGCAGTTACCACTAAAAAACCTTCTTTTAGGAGGGAGCAGTAGATATAACTACATCAACTAGTAATTCTATCTTCTAAAATGGAGATTATGACAGGCTTTATCCAAAATTGCCTGTAGAGGAACATTTCCATTCTACCCACAGTTCCCTTCCATTTCCAGATTGATCCCTGTGCAAAAGCAGAACAATGAGGTAAATGACACTCCTAGTATTCTACAGACATTTACCTGCCAACTTTGGAACTGGGCAGGTGCCTGCAGCAACTTCATCTCTTGGAAGTGGGTGGAAAAATGTATACACCAGGTCACACTACAAGAAAAACAAAACAAAACGCACATTTGCCTATAATTTTATCTGCTATACCAAACTGACTCCAGAGCAGCCAGAAAAAGTCTCATTGGGTATGCCTCAAACTGTAAATTGCCCGAAGATCTTTGAATATAGGATGGGCTATAAATATTTTAGTAATTAAATAAATAGATAGGGAGGAAGGGGAAATGCTACTTAAATTTCCATTTGTATTTGCAAAGCTTGCTGAAGGAGAATGGTCAATGTATGTGTAGAAAATCCCAGGGCTGAAATTTACAGAGCAGGTTTGACAGAACTGTTTCACATAATAGCTTCTGTCTGCATCTTGCTGATGTTTCCCCCTTTCTTTCACATTACCTCGGCCACTTCAGGGGCAGCATGGATCAGATGCCAAATGTAGCCATTCAGCTCCTCTTTCCTCTTCTCAGCCACTGCCTCTCCTCGTGATCGTCCAATCACAAACCTGCTAGGAAAGCTGCAAAATGATAAGAGGGAGGCCTTTAATCACAATAAAAAGTACCACTGAAAAGACTGGATGTCATAACAGTCTTTGCAGCAATAGCCTACATATCTTTTTTTTTAAAGATTATTTATCTCACATTAGTACAGCTGTTCTGCCTGTGTCAGAGAAAGAATTTTAATTTAACTCTGCATAATGCTGAACACACATAATAACCAGTCAATAATGATTTATGGTTACACATAATTTAGAACTATCTCTACAGTGCATTCCACATTCCTTTCCCACATTTTCTTGCACTTTTCCAAGTGCCGAGGAAATAGGTATTTACATGTATGTATATATCAGTATTTTCCCCTGGTGACATTCAACTATTACCAATAGAACACACAATACACTATCAAGAGAAAGGGGGGCTGTAAAACAAAAAAGGCTAACCTTGGAAGATCTGAGGAGGGGAAGATCAGACGTAGCTTGTTATGCAGCTCTTGGAACTCCTCAAAAGTCCGCTGGATGTAGGAGATCTCAGAGGGATTCTCTCGTTTCACCTTCACAATGTATATCTGCAAGGCAGGGACAGAGGTGCTCCTTAAAGCTCAGGTACCAAATGTGTGATGCTACTCCAAGAGTGTCACTGCTTGGAACGCTACTTCTAAGGACAGTCTCAACTCCAGATCCTCCCCATTTGTCTCCCCCCCTGGTTGTTACAAAATGGTCAACAAAAGGACTCACATAGCCCTTGCTGGGATTGAAGATCTTCTCATGGCGGCAGAGGTAGACGTCAAGGATCCTACTAGATGTCTTGATCGTATGCACACGGGGAGCAAAAGAAAGTGTCGGCCGGGTGTCTGAAGCTGTAAACTTCATCTGTGCCAGATTGTGAATGAAGAAGTTGAGTTTTGTGGCCACGCTGCCCAGGCTGGATTCTATTAGTCTGCAGCAGGAGATAAAACATTAAGGCTGTAGAGCCACAATGAAACTAAGTCCATGAGAGACCTCTCACCATGAGTCACTTGTGATCTCCTAGTTCAGCTTGGGACAGAGTGGACTGGGGTTTCTCCTTTCCCATGTTCCAAGCATTAATTTTAAGGCTAGCCTCCCCCTCACCTGGTAAAATAGGTGGTGGCATCTGCGTCAGAGTCCTGTGGTCTCAGAGCATCATAGACATACTTTAGGTCCTCAAGGTCAGAGAGCTCAGGGATTCCACAAGATAGCATCTGGATAATAAAGATGCCATAAATCAGAATACAAAGCCACAAGAAATGTGGAGATATGAAACATCAGCTGTGGTCAATTCACAATTCTGGGATGTGCCACATGCAATCCGATTCCCTAGTTAGCTTGGTTTTCCTTTAAAATAAGACACATATTTGAGAGAGTCTGCAAGATTTTCTGGAACCGACATCCCTCTCCAGGTCTTTGAGGAGCAATAGTTGAAGATGAGGCTCCAAACATGTCCTTCACCCAACTTCTTGGATTGAACATTCCTCAGTAGTTTATTCAATATTTTTATAATTATTAAATGATAACTTCTTGCACATGGTCAAAAAGAAGGTATTTTTGTTTTCGCTGGAACTATCAGGGTCACACATACATGGCCACAAGATTAATTGAGAAACATCTTTCTAAAACCTTGAGTCCACAGAAGAATCCCATGACTGACAAAGATAAATGCTTGGCTTATTTCTCTTCCTGATTTAGAAAGAAAGTCTAATGCATGCACCCCCCACCAAGGATTTCCTCCCATTCTCCAATGCCCTTCCCCATCAGAACAAAAACCTATGCCTAAATCATCAATTTCTGCTCCTCTAAATTTTCCAAAGCAGTAATTTTCCAACTAAAACCAACAATAGGCCTAACCCACCTTGTTTCACTTCCCAACCCACAAAATTGTTCTTTCCTTATTTGTAGGGCTGATCTTAGTCACAGATCTCAGCAACCTGCCTAACTTGAGTCTAAACCCAGAGAATGCAGAGAACATATTGTCATGCAGGAAAACACAGAATATAATTCTTCATTCCTCAGGCCAACTCTGGGCTTTTCTTTCTCTCCATATTTCTTCTTTTCTTTCTGCCCCTTTCCCCAACCTGAGCTAAATACCAGCTAGGAATTCAATTGTAAAAGGGTTCAGCAGGAGTTCTTGTGTTCTGCCCAGAGAAAACACAATACTGCTAGAGCATGAGCAACTCAATGGGAGTGCAGGTTTCTCACCAGGCCTAGAAGATTGATGAAGAGATGAGTGTGCTTGCGGATCAGGTTGTAAGCTTGGCAACAAAGATCAACAAAATCATGGAAGCGACTAGATGGTTTGTCCCCACCATTGATGACATAAGCCATGTCTGATGTGAAGACAAATGGGGCTCGGTCCCTGTATGAAAAATATATATGTATTTAACATGTATTTATCACATACCAACAATCTAGTCCATCGTGTATATGTGATTTAGGTTGCTTACCTCTTTATGTTACCAAACATCTGTGCATGGCCTAGAAATCTGCCAAAGTCAATGTGGAACATGTGTCCAGTGGTCTTGAGCATAATGTTGTCATTGTGCCGGTCACAGATTCCCAACACATATGTGGCTACACAGCAGCCTGCACAGGAATAGATAAAGTTCTCCACTGCCTGCAGGATGAAGACAGATGTCAGAACAGACAAATGAAAAAGGGAATACCAAAGTCAAGTGTGGTATAGTAGGGGGAAAAGTGGAAATATTTGTTGTAACCCTATTGACACGTGAGAGTTTGTGTCACAGCCATGCTTTGTCTGAAACCAGATTTCACAGCTTGGCTTTTGCAACAGAACAATGTGCTTCCAGACTATTAAAATTTTGCATGCATGATTTTAAGGCTGAAATGCTTCCTTACTTGCTGTTGATTTATGGCATGTTCTAGCTTATTTTGCTTTTATATAAAACCCATTTTCAATTTTGTGATCTTATATGAGCCCAGAAAATTACAATGTAGCTACAATATTAAATAAATACTGCAACATAAAATTGGCTTCTTCTCTCCAGTCCAACAACTTGCCAAGTAAACAATTTAGGCCTGGAGATAATGCCTGGGGCTCATACTCAAATCCTGTTCTCAATATGTCCACACTGTTTTTGTAATTACTAAGAATGGCCAGAACATGCTGGCTTTTACATTAGCGGAATATGCATTCTGAGAGTTAACTAGATTTTTGACCCCCAGACAATGATGGTATTGTCTTTCTGTTCACCTAACTTTACCTTTTCATATTCATTCTCCTTGGGGTTGTGTTTCTGTAGCCAATCAGCAAGGGGACGATCCTTAAAGGAGCCTGTGACACCATGCTCCACCTGGATCTTTCGCAGAGTTTCTGCATTAGGGATCATCTCAACCATTCCTGTAACACACGGAATGTGTCTGTAAGATTGGCAGTAAGAACCTCTTTTCCTTTTCCTGATTAATAAAACTCACCAAACCAACTCAGAACAACCTCTTCCTGTCGAGTATTAAGAATTTCATTCCGTCTATTGTGTGCATGATGTCTATGACAGAGACTAGCTCCTTTTTCAGTGCTGGCTGTGTTGACACAACTTCAAGGTCTAGAGACTGAATTGCTTTGCCACAATCCCTATGTGTTTAGAATTCTAGATATGCTTGTGTCTTCAGAGGGACACCATCACAGATAAACAATGCATCTATCTCTATCACAAGTAACTTCACAGTTGATTTGAAAAATGTCCCAGCAAATGTATTGCATACAGTCTATCAAGAACCACTAAGAATAATACCTCCATGTTTAAAGGCACATTGCTCTTCATTATCAGACATTTGGGATAAACTGGCCATCTCACAAGCTACACACTAAAAAATCTAATCCTAACACTTTGGTTTTACTCAGGAAGAGAGTTTTAATATTACTACCCATATTTTCAGACTACACAATTCTTTTATGCAGAGAGTATATCTCTAGTCTCTTGAAACTATTACTCTGTCTAATCCTCACTTATTCCCTCAGCTAGAAAACTGAGCTCCTGGTGGCACAATGGGTAAATCCTTGTGTTGGTAGGGCTGCTGACCAAAAGGTCAGCAGTTCAAATTCGGGGAGCAGGATGAACTCCCTCTGTCAGCTCCAGCTTCCCATGCGGGGATATGAGAGAAGCCTCCTACAGGATAATAAAATATCCAGGCATCCCCTGGCCAATGTACTTGCAGACAGTCAATTCTCTCACACCAGAAGCAACTTGCAGTTTCTCAAGTCGCTCCTGACACACAGACACACACACACAAAGATGGAAAACAACATTATTGCAGCTGGCCAAAAGCAACCCACAAATTAACTGAAAATATTTCATGTTTGGATCCCAACTCACCCCGGCCACGACCTGTGGAGAAACAACGGAATATGACCATGCGCATGTCTAAACCTTCTTGCACCCAGATCTTGTTCATTATGCGAATCATCTGCAAAGTTAGCATGTCCTGCCGGAGATCATCTCCACACTGCAGGGAATAAGAGAGAACAAGGAAAGGCAGACTGCATCAGCACTTTGTAACAACTGACCATTGGGGAAAAGCAAAATAAGATCTATCCTTGTTTATGCCCATCCAACTCAATATAAAACATTTTTGCACTTTTGAAATGGGTCATCAGAACTTATTTACCCTCAGAATAACAGTGACAGCCCTGCAAGTCTTGCAGTGACAGCCCTGCAAGTCTTCCCCATCTATTTTACAGGCTTTTCTCCTTATCTACCCTTCTCCCCAAGCCAACTACCTAAAGGATGTGAGCTCTCTGTTTGCCTCCTGAGCCAATTCACCCATCTAACATTGTGAATCCCATTCCCAAACAGAATCATGAACTACTTAATTTAATTCTGAATGTAATCTATGTACAGAACATCGATGAACCAGGCAATTAATGGAAAAGAAATGGATTCACATTTGGAGAAAGATCCCAGCAGGAGCTAAGAGAGTAATGGGGTGTGTGTGGCTAGTTGGTTCTTTGTTGACTTGTTTTTAGATTGATGTTGTCATGTTTTTGAAACACATTGCTGGCTTAAAGCTAGACAGAAAGGAAGAAATTTAAAACCTAGAGAGAAAAAGTAGCTGGGTAAGAAGAGGAAAACTTATGTGAGCTTTCAATGGTCTCATTGCTTTATTTATTTATTTATTTATTTATTTATTTAGAGTATTTATAGTCTGCCCTTCTCACCCTGTAGGGGACTCAGGGCGGATCACAATGCACATATACATGGCAAACATTCAATGCCATAGACACACAACATATATAGACAGACACACAGAGGCTATTTAACTTTCCAGCTTCATGAGGGTATGCTGTGAATTCTGGCTACCGGAGGGGGTTGTCACTTCACTGTCCACTTGTGACACCGATGGAGTACTTCCTCATTCTTTTGCATGCTGCTGAAGAGTTTTATGGCATCGTAAATTGGTTAAATTAGCCTCCCCGCATAAAGGGTACCTAAATTTCTTACTTGACAGATGCAACTGTCTACCAGGCTGCAAAGGTCGACAGCAAGCTAGACAAATGGTCAGGAGCTTACTCCAACCCGGGCTGGTTTCGAACTCATGACCTTTCGGTCAGTAGTGATTTTAATGCAGCTGACTCCCAACCAGCTGTGCCACAACCCGGCTTTTATCTCATGAATTCATGGTTCCTCTTTCTCAAGGGTGCTTTGTCAAATATGCAAAAGTCTAAGCATGCCCATCTGTTTTAACATTTCACTTGCATGGTCTCACATAGAAGAACAACTTTTAAGACAATCAACTGTTATAAAAGACTCTGGACACAAGGAATCTGCTCCTGATTGCTAGATCTAAGTATCTTCAGCTTTGTCTATATGGACAGAGAAAAAAGTAGAAGGCACAAAACGGGAAGAAATAGGAAGGCTTACCTTAAAAATAACACGGATATTCTCCCCAAGAGGATCAACATTCTGGAAGGAGAGCTTCAGAGGGACAGCATTGGAGTTGAAATAGGAACAATCCTGAAACCAATGAGAGAGAAGGAATGAAAAAAGAGAAACAGTAATCGGAAGAGAATAATCTAACATCCTAGCAACATGAGAGATGGTTGTCTTCCCAGCATGGCAGAACAGCTACATTGAAATGCAGATGCATGCTTCAATTATATTTCCTTTTTTGCAGGTAAAGTCCAACTCAGCTTTTCAATGTCTTCTCATTAAAAGGCCTGCAACACTGGGAAGCAGGCTTTCATTAACTCTACCCACTTTTTTGTGATAAGCACAGGAGAGATTGCATTAACACTTGACCACACTGAAAGTGCATACCATTTCATATAAACCTGCAAATTTCATGACGGAGATCCACTTTGTTTACAATATTTTATGACAAAACCACTGAAGGTCACTGACACTGAAGGACTTTCAGTAGTTTTACCGTAAATAGATGGAAAAGACTGTGATTTTTTTATACAAATATAATGGCCTTTATGTGTTTATTTATTGCATTTCTATACCACTTTCCTCACCCAAGCGGTCTACCACATAATCAATGGCAAAATTCAATGCCTCACATGTATAAAAACATCTCATATCAAATCAACAGAATATAATAGATTAAAACCATTAAAACTATAAAACTATAAACAACAATCACAGACACAATGTAAAACATTTAAACCTTGCATCAATCCATCTTTAGCTACTTCCATATTTCCATCATTCATCGAATGCCTGCTTGAATAGCCAGGTCTTGTTTCCTAAATTCTAGGAGGGAGGGGGCTGATCTAATCTCATAGGGAAGGGAGTTCCATAGCTGAGGGGCCACCACCGAGAAGGCCCTGTCTCTCATTCCTGGCAGATCTTGCTATTCTAGCTGGCTCATAAAGGGAGATGTGTTTGGACAGGTAAGCTGGACTGGAACTATTTAGGGATTTATTGGTTAAAGTCAGCACTTTGAATTCTGCCCAGTAGCAGACTGGCAGCCAGTGGAGCAGATGCAACAGGGGGGTTGTATGCTCCCTGTACGCCGCTCTGGTGAGTAACCTGGCTGCCGCCTAGTTGCTTACCAGGCGGCTAATCTCTTCTAAAGACTCTGAGCCACTCCAGATGTGTCTACATACATGGCAAAAGTAGCTAGGCAGGTTGTAGTCCAACACATCTGGACAGTTAAATGAGTCTGCTCCAAAACACTATCCCCCTTGAACTAGTTTCTCTGTCCACTTTCTGGAAACAAATAATTGGAAGCGATGTGACAAGTTCAGTGATACGGAGCACACAGGTAGTCCCTGAGTTACAAACATCTGACTTACAAAGACTCCTAGTTAAGAATGGCGGTGAAACAACAGGAAGTGGGAGAAATCCACCCCTAGGAAGGGAAAGTCACTCTTGAGAGAGTTATCATGGGGAAAAGGTGTCTCCACTGAAACTTTTATCTCTAATCCTTGTTCCACAAGTCAAATTATTCAAAATCCAATTCTCACAGGGACAGAAAGTGAGGTGAATGCTTCTGAACAGGGGCACTGACAGCAAAGCAAACACCACAGGGTGTTAATTCTTTCCTATGCTACCTAAAGCTACAAAAGATATATTTTGGCTGGAGTTACACTTATGAAATGTACCTGTTCTGACTTACAAACAAATTCAATTTAATATCAAATCTACAGAACTTATTTTTTCATAACCTGCCTTTAATGTTAGAAGTCCACAATGCTAATTCTGAAGCACTAACCTATTGTGTAACAGTTTATTACACAATAGACAGGAAACGGCTACGTTCAAAGTCTAGTTTTACATCAAACATGGGTAGGTTCGATACTTGGAACACAGGAGGTTCCACTGGATGCCGTTAAACTGTTAAAATAGAAATAGGCAATATATGGCCATCCCACCATCCCTCACCATGGACTATGCTGGTTAGGATTTATGGAAGTTGCAGTCCATTATAAATAGAATTTCCCTATGTTTCCCACTTTAGTGTTAAAGGAAACCCAGTTCTACAGGGTCTGGCTGTGTTTCTAGAGGTCAGAACCATACCCGTGGCACAATCCCCTTCACCAGAAGACTGGGACTAAGTGGTAGCCGACAAGAGCCATTAACGTTGAAGAACTGCTTTACATCCTCCAGGCCGTCCCGAAGAATAGTCTGAAAAGAAACACATCATAGTTAAACAAAGAATTCTCCATTCTCTGACTTTTTACAGGAGGTATATACTTGCATGTCATCATAATACAAAGAACATTGCATTATTCTAAAACTGCTTCCCCAAAAAGCATCTATTTGGTTTATAGAGTACTGTCTGCTATGGCAATCTCTCCGTCACATATTTCATAGCACATTTTGTATTTATCTACAGAGGGAATGGAAAAAAATTCTGCAAATGTGTTCAGATATGCAATTACATTTTGTAGATCTGTGTTATACTTACGGACTTTAAGTTTTAAAAAACGTTTAAAATTAGATTAGGCATGAAAAGCATGCCAACCATCATAGGGGGGGAGAAAGGTTTTGAAATATCATCTCTGTCTGCTTATAGTGAGTTCACAAACTGATTAAGCAAACACATGCTCCATTTGAGGTACAGAAGTAGGTACTTTCAGCTGGGATAAGATGCACTTCAGAACATGCATCAAAATATTACACAGCAAATACTATACAGCAAATATTATTATTATTATTATTATTATTATTATTATTATTATTATTAACTTTATTTGTACCCCGCTAGCATCTCCCGAGGGACTCGATGCGGCTTACATAGGCAGAAGCCTCAGAACACAATACAGTAAAACATAACACAACAATAAACAAAGCAAATCAAAATAGTTAAGCAGAATAACAACAACAGTGACAATACATCAGGACACTTTAAAACTGGGCCGGCCAGAGCAATGGGGTACAGGGTTAAAAGTGCTGAAATGGCAGGAGGCACATAGGATTAAAATAGTGCGGTGTGCAGCAATATTAATTGTACTAAAGTGCTTCTAGGACTTGGGATGGGGAATTCCTAATCTGAGAAGGCACATCGGAACAGCCAAGTTTTTAGGTTCTTTCTGAAAGCTGCTAAAGTAGGGGCCTGTCGAAGCTCTTTTGGAAGAGCGTTCCAAAGTCGGGGGGCCGCCACAGAAAAGGCCCTGTCCCGTGTCCCCACCAAGCGCGCATGCGACGTGGGTGGGATCACGAGCAGGGCCTCCCCAGATGACCGGAGAGAGCGTGTGGGTTCGTAAATGGAGATGCGGTCACGCAGGTAGGGTGGTCCCAAACCGTTCAGGGCTTTGTAGGTGAGCACCTGCACCTTGAATTGGGCTCGGAAAATAAATGGCAGCCAGTGGAGCTCCTTAAACAGAGGGGTAGACCTCTCTTGATAATGAGCCCCGGTTAGCATCCTGGCTGCTGCCCGCTGGACCAATTGAAGTTTCCGAGCCGTCTTCAAGGGCAGCCCCACGTAGAGCGCATTGCAGTAATCCATTCTAGAGGTGACCAAGGCATGGACCACCCCGGCCAGATCAGCCTTCGCGAGGTACGGTCGCAGCTGGCGCACAAGTCTCAATTGTGCAAAGGCCCTCCCGGATACCGCCGACACCTGAGCCTCAAGTGTGAGCGAAGAATCCAAGAGGACACCCAAACTGCGGACCTGTGGCTTCAGGGGGAGTGTAACCCCGTCCAACACAGGTTGCCACCCTATCCCCCGATCCGGTTTACGATCGACCAGGAGGACCTCTGTCTTGTCGGGATTGATCTTCAGCTTGTTCTTCCTCATCCAGATCGACACAGCGGCCAGGCACTCGTCCAGCACCCGAGAGGCCTCCTTGGAGTTAGGTGGAAAGGAGTAGTAGAGTTGTGTGTCATCTGCATAGAAGATGGCACCTAACTCCAAAACTCCGGATGACCTCTCCCAGCGGTTTCATGTAGATGTTGAAAAGCATGGGCGACAAAATAGAGCCTTGCGGGACCCCACAGGTCAAAGGCCAGGGGTCTGAGCAGGCGTCACCCAGCTTCACCATCTGGGTTCGTCCCTCGAGGAAGGACCGGAGCCACGACAAAACCGCGCCCCCGAGGCCCATCCCAGAGAGACGACCCAGAAGGATACCATGATCGATGGTATCGAAAGCCGCTGAGATGTCCAAGAGAACCAACAGAGTCACACTCCCCCTGTCCAGCTCTCTGCGGAGGTCATCCACCAAGGCGACCAAGGCTGTCTCGGTGCCATGACCAGGCCTGAAACCAGACTGTGACTGATCTAGGTAGTTGGTATCGTCTAAGAAGCTCTGAAGCTGGGAGGCGACCACCCGCTCCAGCACCTTACCCAAGAAAGGGAGGTTGGAGATTGGCCTGTAATTGCTCAGCACCGTGGAGTCAAGGGAAACCTTTTTGAGGAGTGGACGAACCACAGCCTGTTTCAAACCAGATGGAAAAATCCCTTGCTCCAACGATGCTCCAATATACATAACTGGAGCATACTGTCCCAATCCCTCCATGGGTCATAGGAAGATAGTGAAGTCTACAGATGCAGATACCTGTCGGGATGATGGAGCTGCTTCACGGACCTGCTGTGCCAGTTTAGCCAGGGTGTTAACAAGCCAGCACTGGCGGTCAAACTCTTCTCGCAGGCCCTTCCCACAGCAACACAGTAGAGCCGCCAGCAGGTACTGGTAACGGATGCTGAACTGAGAATCCTTGAGACCATCTTTCAGTAACCTATGGAAATGGGGACATTGTTGCTGGAAACAATGGGGTTTGCGCAGAAGATATAGATGCTTGAGACATAGATAGGCACCTATAACCAGTCTTTCCCAATCTGGCCCTCTTCAGATGTGCTGAACTACAACATATATCAGCCTAATTCAACAAGATGTCTGGAAATGATGGGTGTGTTTTGGTCCAATGCATCTGGAAGTTTCTGGTTTGAGAAAGCTGATCTACAACTGAGCAAAATGTCTCCCTTCTCTCTCCTAAGAAGACCATGTGAATGCTAGAAACTTCATTTAAAAAAGATATAGAAGAGTGATAGAAAAATAGAGAAAAGCTGGAAGCAAGTATTTTCAACAACCTGGTTTTGAGTCAAATTATTATTATCTGAATAGACAAGATTCTGAGCAAAAGAACAAGACAGACAATAGTTTGAAACTTAATCTGGCTTCTGCAAGCAAAATTTATAATCATAACCACTTAACCTGATTCTTTTTCTCCTACAGGCAGTTACAGCACTATCGGTTCAATTTGTGAATCCAACCACATTACCAGAAGAAATAATGGGTGATCCTCAGGTCACAGATGGCTCGCTTCATAAGAAACCGCACCAGGGGACTGTCCAAGTAGCATTCATATTTGAGAGCCTGTAAAAGAACAGATTAGTGTTATTGCTTTATTTAACAGATCATCACTTGATTAACAAGTTCAAAGAGTTGCAGAACCTGGGATGAGTTGCAGAAGACCAAAAAGACAGGTGCGAAACTGGATGCAAATTTTCTACTCAAATATTTGGATAGAAGGATTGAACAACCACAATCAATACAGTTTCAGAGTGCAATGAATGAGCAATTCTACTAAGGTTCTTCAATAATATAACTGACTTAATATTCTCAGGCATTGAAATACTGCAGATAGTACGGATTGACATCAGCAATGAAAGAACATTCACACAGAAATCCTCCAAATGGTGCAAAGGATTGTAAACAAGATGGTTTAAATTATTTAGAAATAATAAAACTATAATAAATGCCTCTGTTAAGCAAGTTTGTTTAGTGGTCTTTTGACCTCCAGATGTTTTAGACTTCAGCTCCAATAATTCCCAACAGCTGGTAAGCTGGCTGGGATTTCTGGAAGTTGAAGTCCAAAACAACTGGAGGACAAAAAGTTGGAAGCCACTGGTCTAGAGGAATCCGGTTTGTAGGCCATGATGAGTGATGATGGGATTTGTAGTGCTACAACAACAAGCATGGTGCATTGCTTTAAGTGTTGATCTAAGACTCTGAGAGACCAAGGTTCAAATCTCTGCTCAGCCATAGAAACTCCCAGGATAACATTGGGCAAGTCCACCTCAATCTTTAGAAGGCGGCAATACAATGGTAAACCCTCCTTTGGACAAATCTTGTCAAAGAAACCCTGTGACAGGTTTCCATTAGGGTCACTAACATGACTACTTCAAGGCACACAACAACAATAGGTTAACAACACATCTGGAGGGCTTCAAATTGAGATAATTGTCCTAGAGCAGAGAAGAACAATTCAAAATATCCAGAGTATCACTCAGCACACCAACTCACCTGTACCAACTGGGGCAGGTAATCCAGTAGTTCTGCATCAGATATGGAGTCAATCCATTGCACTGCTGTTCTTCTTACCTCCTGATCTGGGAACCTGCAGGTAAATCTGCCAGCTGTAAGAATTTATAACGGATTCTGCCTCCTCCACCCCACAACAACAGCATATGGACAACCATTTACAATAATGTGGTGACACAGCCAATTAATTGTGTACTCGTTTAGAAAAGCACCACGTTCCAAACAGTTGAATGTATGCACATGTCATAAAAACATTTACAAGATTTGTGAATAATACAAAACAATCATTTTCAGATACTGTTCCATGTGTGTTACTGTTTTGTATACATATGGTGTCACATACAGTGACTCGTAATAATGGTATGCTTTTTCGTAAAAGTATGAAATCAGCACCTTGAGATATATAGTGTCATTTTAGATACTGGGGCATGTATTATTTGTCCGCAATCATGGTAAACATTGTGCTTTTCTTATAAAGTGTATGACACTCAGAAAAATAATTCAATGACTATTATTATTATTTTTTAATTTATACCCTGCTTTATCTCTGCCACAGGAAACTCAAAGCGGCTATTGCAATCTGTAGAAAGGGAGTCTTCGTATTGTTTCCTGAAATGGGCTGATGCTAGCAAATTTACTCAGCAGAAAACATAGTGGGTTTTATTTCTAGGTTTACATATAAAGAATGAGTGAAGATCTGACAAAGTGGTATAGTTTAATCTGATTGCCAACATAGGGTGAGAGATGGAGAAACTAAGGCTGGAAATCTAAATGACTACTTTGTGAAATCAGGACCAAGATCAGGGCAGGGCTGTGACATGTATGGTCCTCCCAGTGATATTGGACCACATCTCCCCCACCACTGTGTGCACTAGCTAGAGTTGATGAGAGTTGCAGTTCAACAATATCATGAATGCCCTAATCTGGGGCCTTCTACCCTGAAATCAACATGACTTACGCTGCATGGAGGAGCCCAAGGGCATCCTGGTGATTCATGTGCGTCCATTGTTTCAGCAGGGCATAGATGTCAGGCAAGCAGGCCCACTCCCAGCTTGGGGCACTAGCAAGGAGCAGAGGTAATGAGCCTGGCTCAGAATGACAGTAATAACGCTTTTCCCATAGCCGCTTCCGGTCAGCATCTGTTAACCTGTGAAGAAAATAATAATAATAATAATAATAATAATAATAATAATAATAATAATAATAAACCTTTATTTATACCCCACTACCATCTCCCGAAGAACTCGGTGCGGCTTACAAGAGGCCGAGCCCAAATACATCAGTAAAAAAGCAACAACAACAATACAGACAATAAATAAACTTATAAACAAAGCAATAAACAGTAACAATAACACCACGGCGCATTAAAACCTATGGCTGGCCAATTGTAATAATTAAATTTTTTAAAAATGCTGGGCATGACAAGGTGACATCTAACTAGGATGGGTATTTGGAGAGAGAATGGAGCGAGCAGACAATCCTAGATCATTAATAAAGTGTGATTTGGGACTTATTCTGGGAAAAAACAACAACATGAGATTAGTCCGAAGAAACAGGGGTTACTGGCTATGATGGCCTCATAAAATCTCCATGTTTGGAGGTGATATGCCACTGCATACTCTCTCTGGAAAGTTTCCAAAATAAAGTAGCTGATCAGTATGAGAATTCTGGCCAGCATGTGTCTTTTGTTTGATTTAAGGAGGCCTATGAGAGTGCCTTGGACTGCAAGAAGATCCAACCAGTCCATACTTCAGAAAATAATGCTCGACTGCTCATTGGAGGGAAGGATAGTAGAGGCAAAGATGAAGTACTTTGGCCACATCATAAGAAGAAAGGAAAGCTTAGAGAAGACAGTTATGCTGGGGAAAATGGAAGGAAAAAGGAAGAGGGGCCAACCAAGGGCAAGGTGGATGGATGGCATCCTTGACTGGACTGATCTTGAAAGAGCTGGGAGTGGCCATGGCTGACAGGGAGCTCTGGTGTGGGCTGGTCCATGAGGTTACAAAGAGTCGGAAACGACTGAACGAATGAATAACAAACATGTTATTTTGAAAGAGACGAAGGGCCCTTCCACACAGCCATATAACCCAGAAATATGAAGGCAGAAAATTCCACAATATCTGCTTTGAACAGAGTTATCTGAGTCCACACTGCCATATGTTCCAGTTCAAAGCAGATAATGTGGGATTTTTTCAGTGGTGTGCAAGGAGCCTGAGATAACATTCTATGTGGAACAAGTGAATAAAAAAGGAAAAGGTGGAAAAGGAAGACATGTATTCATGTATCAAGTGTTTGCAGGACTTTTATGCAGTTGTGTGTATACTTAAAGACAAGGTTAGCAGAAACAGCACTGGCTTGCAACTCTCTGCTACTCTGTCTATGCTTGCTAAGAATGTTGAGGAGTTGCAAACCCATAATGTCTGCAGGGCCAAACACTGTCCACTGCTGATTACAAGGCACATAGGCCCATGTGTTGCAATCGGGGGTACTCCTGGGTTGATGTAATTTCAAAATCTGATTATCTGAATTTGTTTGCTTTTCTGATCCCGTTTAATTTTATATCTAGTAAGGTTATGAGACTGCAACTAGTGATTGATTATGTTTTCATCTCTAGCTCTCATTTAAAAGCTATTAGGAATTATTACAAGGATGATAATAGGAGTCTTATCCCATTTGATCATATGTTGTTCTTTCATATGAACATAGTCTGAGCCACAAGTTTCCAGAGCGTGGAAGTTCTATTCTGTCTTTTCCTCAATGGACTATTTCTGTGGCAAGAAAACAAACAGAATCTGCAGCCGAGAAGCACAAGAAGGTTACAAATAGAAGGTGGTGCCTGGAGTTCTGTTTGAAGCAGGGAAAGGTCTCATGTGATTATTTATTAACAGAGAAGATGTGAGGCTTTATGTGTCCACTAGAGAGCAGCAAACACTGAAGAAAAAGACTCACACTGCATATAATGCAGAACAATGCTGCAGCATGTTCCAATTCTCAAGGAAGAAGATGGGATCAGGTGGCTAATGGAAGGTCTGGAAGCAATTCCATCCTCAGTTTAGTGGGATCAAAAGTTCACTTGCCCAAAGGGCAGCCGGGGGAGGGGGGAACCACAGCCAGTGACTGATACAAATGCACTGAGAAAATAGGTTGCCTCTTGTTAAAACTCATGGAGCCATTCAGACATAATGAACTGCCTCCACCCTTCCATGCAACCCTCCTTGTATTTTTGTTTCTCATGTGTTCAACAGACCTCTGAAAGATGGGTGGGGAATTAAACCCCATGCAAACTTGACACATGAATTAAGTACAACGTATAATTCATGATACCATCACACCAAATATCCTAGAATTCAAAGCAAAAACTCTTAGAAAAAATCAAATTGGGGGGAGGGATAAACAAGTAGTGTTTCGTTCCATAAAAATGATGTCAGAAGACTCAAGGCTATGCAGTAACTCTCTTTGACTCTACAAGCTTTGGTATCTTTCAGTTGAGTTTCAATGAGTGAGTATGCATTTAGGGATGCTAGATTAAGCTCTATACTGAGAAGAGGATTGTCAGGCACCAACTGGAAAATCTGATTGCCCTGCTTTTGTCTGAGTCCCAATGGGCCTTCTGCCATGTTGCCAATCAATGTAGGTCAATGTAAGGCCAACTGAACCGAGGGAAGTATGACAGAAACATTTGGAAAACTGTGGATAACCAGAAAAGAAAAATGCAGTCTAAGATTGTCATGGAAAAGAATAGGAGGAAGGCCAAAAAAAAAAAAAAGACACCTTTCTACATTTCAGTGTGGAAGGAATAAACATGGCCTATACTGGATTATCACAGGTAGAAACTCGCTGCTGTTAATATAATAGGAATAAAAAAGAAATGATTAAATTTGGGGATTGAGAAAATGCTACATAATACAAAACCATGGTGGAATGTAATGATCACTGGGTAGGGACAAAGATGTGGATGAAGGGACTTGGACACCCCCCGTCCCCCACCATGACCACATATCCTAATTCTCCATTTGGAAGCATTTCTGATCCAAATCCAATTTAAAGGGAAAGAACAACATGGAAGTTTATTCAATTGCAATCAACTAGAGCCTGATAGGGAATTATGCAGGGTTTTGGGGTTTTTTTGGACAAAAGAGTTGTTCCAAGTTGCTATCAAAATCTGATACCTAGACAGCAAATGGGGCTGGAATCCTGCTGCTGAAATATGCACACAAACTCCAGACTACACAGACATGAATATTAAGCCCACCCATTCAGCTTTCCTGAACCTGAAATACACTGCCATGGCCATTTCTTGGAGGGCAAGAGATGTCTAGGAAGTATAGATTTGCATACAGGAAAAGAAAACGGCTTTCAGCCACTGACTAGAGATCTGAGAAACTGATGATAGATTCTGCTGGTGTGGTTCTATGATCTGCTGGATATCTGAGAGAGTGATGACAGCTCTCTTGTCACACATCCAGAATTACAGCTAGGTGTTGCCTGGATGCCTTCAGCTTGGCCTCCCCATTGCCACCACCCGAGGGATACCTCCCACTATCCTCCTTCCTGCCAGTGAAGGCTCATTACAGTGTGCTATGGAAAGTATGAAGGGATGCATACAATACAGGATTTCAACCTAAGTGGGTTAAAACCTATGCTTATCCCAATTTCACCCACGATTGAGCTCAATTTCATCTTTAGCAACTGAAGAAAAAGTGGGTTGATGTAGGTTTTTCGGCCTGTATGACCATGTTCTAGAAGCATTCTCTCCTGACATTTCACCAGCATCTACGGCAGGCATCCTCTGAGGAAAAGCCTAAAACAACCCAGTGATTCCAGCCATAAAATACATTTAACAATACATTGAAGAAAAAGTGTTATTAACATACAATCCTGACTCATCACTCACAACTAGCCACCTTGAGTCACCACAGGGAAAAAGACAGGATATAAATAAAGTAAATAAAGAGTAAATATAAAAGGAGAAGCCAAAATGTTTTGCCTATCACTTCTTCTCTCTCTCTTTTCCTATTTATATAGAATGTATATGCGTGTGTTTTCTTTACTTTATAGAAAGCATTTATAAATGTCTGAAAGAGGTAACAACAGAAGGAAAGTTGACAGGTATGAAATTTCTATTTGTTTCCATTTATATGAACTAATTTATACTCATATGTGCTCCTTTTTGGCAACACCTAAGTGGTCCCCTACACTCTTATGTTCCCATATATTCCAGTAGTTGAGTCTTTGATTCTGAAGACAACTTCCTGGAACTAAAACATGGTTCGGATTAAGCCTTTCTGGGTTTCATTGGCAAGGAAGTGGATGGGTTGGCCTGAAATGCACAAAAGAGCAGGAGAGAGAGGCCAGGGCTGGTTTTGTAAGAGACTGCAGCTGGGAACCCTGGGCATCAGGATCAAGATGGCTGCATTGTTACTGGAATAGCAGGGAGGCGGGGTGTAGGGATACTGGCCAAGCTAGACAGGAGGGGCAATGGCACAAAAAGGCTAGCTCCGTTCCCATCAGTTCCCTTCAGCCACCTCCAGGAAATGCATTCATTTAGACCAAAACAAAGAGGAAAGAGAGTGAAAGTGTTGCCCACCCATGAGAACTTCCCACCCCAGCTATGACCCAGAGCCAACAGGAAAGAATGTGGCACTGCCTTGTGCACAATGCCAGGAAGGGCCTGCCCATCCTGGAGCAATTGCTTTCAGCTAAACAGATGTGAGAGGTGAGGGCAGCCTGGCATAGTTATACCATAGGTCAAGGGGTTTTTAAAAAATGAGCTGTGAACGGTGGGTCAGGATCACACTTTTTGAATATACTTACTTTATCCACTAATAGATGATGGCCCCATTTCCTGCCTTTTTTCTTCACATACATCCCTTTTTAGCTCTGGTTCAACTTTCATACTTCTACTCCCATTTAACACTCCCCCCAACCCATTTCATGTTCTCTAACTTAGACTCCATATTTCTGCATCAAAAGATTGCAAGGGGGCGGGGAGTGGGATACAAACAAATGTCAAAAGTCTGCAAAATTGAGAGACAAAAATGTATGCTGGTTTTATAGGAATTTGGGGGTTTGAATCCAAAACCAATATCAGATTTACTCCATTATGCACAGGCTCCCTCCCCCACCCATGTTGCTTTGATGTTTTTAATTTATGGTCTGAGATTGCTTTCGGAACTAAACATCAAAAAATGGCTTAAAGTCTTCAAATAGATTTTCAAACATTCCAAAATCTGTTGACATGAAAGACAAAAAATAGTTCAAAATACTAAAAATATTGCACTGGAATATTATTATTCATTCTTAATCAAAACAAAAGAACTGATAAAAATGAATTTGGGAAAGAACTGTGTGTAGTATAGCATACTTATTATGTTTTTTAAAAAATTCGGCAGCCCCAAATATATTACGAAAAGGTACATTACTGGGAAAAAAATCATCATGGGCCAGGGAAATTGGATTAGTGTTGAAGGAAGAGGCATATACGTATGTATGTAGCCAACAAATTAATAGGGATAACATCAGCCACCTGGCCAACCAACATTCATAGCATATGCATAGCAGTTGGAAGGGGGGGGGGATGTTTTCTTCCTTTTTAGATTTAGAAAGACATTTTTTTAATTTAATTTTTAATTTTTTTAATTCTAAGCTTTGTTCAAATCTGTAACAGCCCTGCTTTGTTCACTCATTTGGCATCTGTACAACGTCATTGTCAACCTGCTAAATTCCAGTGTTTTCTGTGGTCCCAAGTGTTTGTTCAGATTTAACTGCAGCCATGTGTGCATGTTACAAAAAAAGAAGAAAAAAAGAATTGCAACACAGCCTGCACATTCAAGGGTTTCTGCATCTTTAACTAAAGCATTGCCTAAAGCATTAGAAATAGCCAAGGAGTTTGTTGGATAAGGGAGTGCATATTCAATGATTCTATGGAATTTCTTTAATTCCATTTCCAGATAACTATGGAATCCCTGGCAAAAAAAAAATCTTTCCATAGTCTTTATTGGATGGGCTATAAATTGCTTCTTAGATTGTTTTAGAATCTCCTCCATTCATATTTGTATTGAGATCACAAGGATTTCCAATCACATACAGTGAGATTTTTACTGTTATATGTTTTTAATTATGTTACTTGTAACTTTTGTTTATATTGGGCTTAGTCCCCATGTAAGCCACCTTGAGTCCCTTTGGGGAGATGGAGACGGGATATAAGAATAAAGTTATTCTTATTATTATTAAGCACAAAGCAACTACAGGCAATCCCTGAGTTACAAACATCCGATTGAAAAATGACTCATAGTTGCAAATGGGGATGAGACAACAGCAAGTGAGAGAAATTACCCCTCAGAAGGGAAATTCACTCTTGAAAGAGTTATCATAAGGAAAAGGTGTCTCAACTGAAGCTTTATCACAACAACAAGCCAAATTTTTCAAAATCCAATTATCACAGGGACAGAAAGTGATGTGAAATCTTCTGAACAGGAACACAGACAGCGACACAAACACCACAGGGGCATTAATCCTTTCCCATGCTATCCAAAGCTAAATGATACTTATTTTAGGTGAAGTTACAATTAAAATGTACTTATTCCGACTTACAAATAAATTTAGCTTAAGAACAAACCTAAAGTACCTATCTTCTTCCTATCTTAGGGACTGACTGTACTGGAAAAGTCTGCAGAGCCAACAACTCAAACACAGGGTCTCATCTGAAAATCTAAACATCAAGCAGTTTTAGAAGGTTAGTTAAACGATAATTGTTTTCATCCATTTTACAGTTTGACTACCGAAATTTATTTTTATAAACATTTTTCTTTATAACATAACCATAAACCCCACCTTTCCACAAAGTATCCAGTACCCAAAATCAACCATATATTTTGATACTTGAAAGAGAAAACTGCACAAACACCTCTCCCATCCATGATAGTTCAAATACAATGGACTAGATCCAGATATAATCATACAACAGGAGAAAAATCAGTGCAATCCAAGACACATAAGTAATGCCAGTCAGTTCACTTCTATTCTAAGCATGACTTAATCTGGATACATTCCAAATGAAGTAAAAAAAATAATAACAATCTTTCCCTTCTTTGTGAAACCAAAATATACTGCCTAAAGCACCCTTCCTCTTTTGCCTAATATTAGGGCCATTCCAAGATATTCTTATGTTCACTTCTACTGATGGCCACATGTGCAATGCACATCAACTAATCCGGCCTATTTACAGTGAGAAGATAAGGATGCTACAAAATTTAAAAAGATTTAGCCTTGAGTTTGACTGAAAGTGAGAGAGACAGATTTTTTTTCTGTGTCAGGAGCGACCTGAGAAACTGCAAGTTGCTTCTGGTGTGAGAGAATTGACTGTCTTCAAGGACATTGCCCAGGGGATGCCCGGATATTTTGATGTTGTACCATCCTTGTAGGAGGCTTCTCTCTACTGACTGGTGGACGGAGAACAATTCCTTGAACATTTTCCTTTATGGGAAGGGAAGGAAGCTTCTACTTTTTGAGATGTTCTTGTCAGTAAACACAGCTGATGGAAAGTTGGCACAAATTCAGCTGCTCTCCAGAAAATGGCCAAGAAAATCTCAAACTCCCTTATAATATGTACAGCCCATCACACAGCAAGCATCTACATGTTCTTGCTATGGTCTATAGAGCTCCACGGATTCACTCAAGAGTCCCAAGATGCCCCATAACTTCTCAATGGGCTGCGGAAGGGGAAGTAATCTAACTGGCTTTTCTTGGTAGTTCCACTCAGAAAGAAGGAAAGTCACAATATTAGAAAGACAGGTACACTGGCCTTTAGGGACAAACCAACCAACAGAAAAACAGTGCCAAAAGTTTGGTGCTGTTTTTCCATTGCCATGTTTGTCCCTATACACACAGGATGATGTTGAAAGAACACAGGTCATCTTCAACCATTTCAAAGCCACCATGCAGACAAACTGTTGATGAATTGAGACAGTGAACATTCTTTAAATCTGTTTCGGTACATCGAAACAATACCTCATTCAGAATGTCACAAGTGACCACTGGCCAAACAGTCAATATTATTCCTTTGAAGCTACCTGAATTAGCTTATCTATTTACTCCTATTTTTGATAGACACCTTAGTTGAATAGACCGATATTGTGCTCAGCCTGGCCTCCAGACCTACTTTGTAAAATATAATGTGTTCCTACCCCATGATTCTACCCTATATTCCATCCAGGACCAGAACTCCCAAGGTCAAGATTTGGCATTCGCTAGCGATGCAGGTGCTGCCCTAGAGCATACAGAGTATTCTGTGCATCACTGAACACAGAACCAATAAAGACGAATTCTGAAGATGAGTTCTCAACTTTTCATCATTTTAAGTGAAATGTGCCACCACATTTCCATTTGAGAAGCTTGATTCAATACCATCAAGAGGTGTCAGTGCCTATGCAAAGCACTTAGGACAATTTAAGGCTTGTGTGCCTTCCATCCTCTCACCAATAGAGTGATTCCTTCTGCATCACCTCCTTCAGCTTCTTCTGGTCTCCCCCCGAAAGGCAGTTGAAATTGTACTGGGGACTGAACTCTGCTGGTGGTGGCTTAGTAAACTTCACTTCGAATGCTGAGCTTGGGAAGTCAATCTGTGGGAGAGTAAGGACAACACAGGCTTACTGTTATCCATGAGGATGTGACACTTTCTGTTTTAGAAGAAGGCAATAGCAAATCTCTTCTGCATAAATCTTCTCCTCTAACAAGGCTTGCCATAAGTCAGAGTCAAGTTGAAGACATAAAGCAACTACACAAATTACACAGCCCAATACACACAAAAAAATCTTGGTGTCTTGTTTTTTAGACCTGTTTCCTGAGATATTTGGTGCACAGATCCAGAAAATTGCATTAGATAGACCATACCAGCTCTAATTTCTTAGATATGGTGATCATGATTTTCTATGGGCAAACAGATGAAGACAGGTATATAGCATAAGTTCTTTATCTCAAAAACTAAAGCTGACAGGAGAAAAATGCTGCCATTTCTGGAATCAGCAGGTCTAATATTTGAGGCACCAAAATGTGCATTGGCCAGTGTTATTTTTCAGTTTTTAATCAATGAAGAAGCTCAAAAATGGAATATAATGGATAATGATAATAATAATAATAATATATTTATACCCCACCAGCATCTCCCAAAGGGATTCGGGGCAGCTGACAAGAACACAATGGTGCCATACAGCATATAAAATACAATATAACTACATGAAAACCATTAACACATTTAAAATCAAACATATAAAAATAACAAGATCAATAGAATCAACAAAATATGACATGGTTGTTAATTAAATGATCCACACAAATAAAGGCTTTTAAAGGTAGACACAAGTTTTAAAAATAATTATAGAACTACATAATGCACAGTAAAAACAACTAAAGCAGTCATCCTAACCTAGCTTCAAAAAGTACCCCCTCATTTGTACCTGAGTAGCCAATCATTCACATCACTGAGTGCCATTTTAAACACCACAGAGAACATAATTCAGTGCAATAAGCATTCAGTGCAATAATCTCTTCTTGCTCCAACTTACATTTTCTCTTCACATTGTACAAAGAATGAAACAGATACTTCTGTGATCAGTTTTAAAAATGTAACCAATATGGCTTTCTTTCTATTATTTTTAGTAGTGTGTTAATATACATTCCCGCGCCTTTACTCTCCTGCAGAATGTAATGTACAAACTTGTCTATTCATCTGGTTTTCATACACCAGCACTGTACCAGTGGTAATCTGGGCTCTTAGATTACCCCTAGCAGCAACGGGCATTAAAACCATGGCACCTCTTCTCCAGAACATCATTTGATAGTAGCAGCCCAAAAACGGCTGTGTGTGTATTTATATTTGGGCAGTTGTTTCAAATAGGCCAATCTTGCCCATCCATTAGGACTTCCATTTTTTTTAGTCTTTACATGCTTTTCCTCCATAGTTTTCCAGGCACTTAATGTGTATGAAAGCAAGAGATGTACAGACAGCATGGTGCTTGGAGCTGGGGAAATGTTGCAGGAGAACTGTGATATCAAGCTAGCTTGTGACCTATATACCTTCAGTTACATGGGGCTATTTTTGGTTGGGACAAAGTGCAGACCAGGAGGAAAAAAAGCTGTTAAAACAAAGACTGAAGGCGAAATCACATTGCCCTTTTAACCACACCTTTGTTACAGGGAAGTGGTAACCACTGAATCATCTGACTGTGCTGCTGTGCAATATGTGTTCAGATTGTGACTCACTTTATCATGAAAACTTCCAAAGATGGCTAAATATTGGTGTGCCAAGCCCAAACTGAAATCTGGATGGAAGGACCAGATAACCCTTTCCACTGAGGATTCAGCATTCGCCGTTGATCCAGTGACCTACATATAGCATGGCAAAAGACGTGACCATGCACTTTAGTTACTAGCCTATCCTTTAAATTATTGTTGCACTAGCCCACCCATTCATGATGATACATTGAATTTGTTATTGGTTTTTGGTTTTGGAGAGTAGCCATATTATCATACACAGTTGCTCCCTCTCAACGATTTTTGTCCCCAGAGTATATCCCCCACCTGTATGAAGGTCTATATTTATGACCCTGTTCCTTTACGAGTTTCTCCCCCACAAACAATCTGCTCCATCCTTATCTCATCCTGATTTTAGTATTTTTAGTATCTTAGCTTTTATCTTGCACATGCAGCCCGCTCATTGTTATGTTATTTTATTTTACTGTGTATGATTTTGTTTTATCGTTTTTGTACTCATATGTTGTATGTATTTTACTGTGTTGTTATTGTGTTTTGGTTTTACTTTATTGTAATATGTTGTTGGGCTTGGCCTCATGTAAGCCACCCGAGTCCCCATTGGGGAGATGGGGGCGGGGTATTAAATAAAGATGATGATGATGATTATTATTATTGGTTTTGATGCCTGTTTTATATATAGTTATAATGTTGTTTTATTTTGTTTTATACTGTTGTTTGCATCTTAATGTGTTATTTTTTAACTGTGTTAATCGGGCTTGATCCCATGAAAACTGCACCTTTGGGGAGTTGTAGGCGGGGTACAAAAATAAAGTTGTTGTTGTTGTTGTTGTTATTGTGGTTCAGCCACTAATGAAGAAAAGCAGAGCTGGCTCCAAGCTAGATGTTAGCCACTCCCACTTGCTTTGGGACTGATCACAGCCAATTCATTTGGCCTCACATTTTGGATGTCTCCAGGACTGCAACAACATATACTTTCCAAGGCTTCTTCTCAAGCATAGAAAAAGATGTGATGCAGTTAACAAGCCCTGGCATTGCCCACCTTATTCTAGATAGATAACAGAGCCATAGCATGCTCTTCTAGTAGAATAAAAGGGCACACACAAATGAGTGGTGTTAACTACCAATACTTTAGGATGGTAGCATAGACTTCAAAATTTCTAGAGGAGCTGTACTTAATCTAAACAATGCATCTTGGATTAAAGTTAATAGGACATTACTATTGATTCCTTCAAGTGGAAAGATGGGAGATGAGCTCAAACTATCCAAGTTTTATAAAGTCATAGCCACACCCGGCTCTTGACAGGAAAGTTCCACTAGCAACACCATTTATTCTCCAAAATACAGGCACTTTGCAAAAGGAGCAATGAGGCGAATCACCAGCAATAGACTTATTTTTAATATAAATAATTAAAAACTTAATGGATTTGTAAGTGGCTTTGGAAAAGAAAATTATTCCCTCAGTCATGTGCCAAAGAAATCAGTACTGGATAACCAGGTCAGAGAACTACATCATAAAGGAAGGGAAGAGACTGAAGGGAAGTAATTGGAGATCTGGCAGGGCTTGGTCAGAAGCTCAGAAACAATCTCTCTTCTTGCTCCAAGTCAGCAAAGAAGGAGGATGGTGCACATGATATGACCCAGGGGAGAAGATTTGCTCTCTTTCTCTCTGCCAAGTCTCCAGTTAGAAGTGCCTCGGCCTCTCCTTCCATTCCTTCTGTCCACACCCAAAGCAACAGGAATGGGATTCTGACTTCATGTCCAGAACTATATTCATAATTGCAGACAGAGAGGAGAGTGAAACTAATAAGTGCGAACCACTGGAACTGGAAACAGGAGGACGTAACAATTCAAGACAAAACAATACAGTTAATTTATTATGTGTTGGGATCAGGCAAATGGCTGGTGTCACAAGAACTTGCACTTTAATGTACCCAAGTATCTGAAATGTCTAAGGAATCTAAAGTATGCCAGAGCCCACAGAAAGAGAGAACAGTTCTCCAAAAGCAATAGGTATCTGATACAACAGAATTAAATGAAGCTTCTTCTATTTCTGAGCCACCTTTTTTCTTTGTATATTCAAAATGCATTTCATAGCGCCTTAAAGACTAACAATGTTATAGTGACAGGACATAAGCTATAAAAGTGCATCAGAAGACAAACTGGTGACCATGTTTCTCTGTTAACAGAAGTTAAAACATTTTTAAACATGTCATTTGCATAGCTAGTACTTTAGTTAATGTAAAATTACATTTTTACCAGCTCTCAAATAGCTATGTCTATTTTTTTTTTGGAAAATAACCTTCATATTCCCTCCAAAGGGAAAAAGGGAAGGTATGAATTATATCATAATGAAGAAGACATGCTTCTCTCTTTCACATGCATACCCACAGCGGGATTTGTTCTTAAAGGACCCTACACTGTTTTTACAATTTTTAGTTTTAATGTTTATGAGAGTCTGAACCACACTATGCCTCCAAGAGCACTAATTCATCCTTTTAAAAAGACAAACAAACAATTTATGGATATTACCAAACTTGCTGTACCTTCAAAGCAATAGTCTGCAATTTAATTCGCACATTTTGTAACTATAACCAAAGTTTTTTCCACAGTTGTTGAGTATCTATCACACCACTTAAAAATACTTATCTGGTCCAGTGAACTGGCACAATATCCACATCATTTTTCCCCTTTTAGTTAATGAGCTTATTGTCTTTCCCAGTCCCATGGCCCCTATAGAGAGGATGGGAATAAACTAGTTCCAATTATATTTCTGTTGGTTGGAAACTTCCCCAAATTAATACAGCTCTGATTTGAAACCAAGCCCATTATATGCTTGAATATGAGCTACGAGGAGCAAAGAACTAGAGGAACTCCTCTGGTTGCTGGATGACATCTCTCATCATGTCTAACAATCAAAACTAGTGGTAAGAAATTATGGAAACAACATCTGGGCTGAAGAATCACAGACTGCCGAATCTTCTTTGTTGTGCCTTCAAGTCCCTTCTGACTTATGGGACCCTAAGTCAGAAACCAAACTAATCACAAGGTTTTACGGAGATGAGAGTGTGTGGGTTTCCATGGCCGAATGGGAAATTGGATCTTGCTCCCCAGGGTCTTAGTCCAATGCTCAAAATACTATTCTAAGCTTGCTGAAGCCAAAACATCCACAGAACAATCTCTGGTTTCTAATGGCAAACTGCACGAACTCCAATTCGTGTCATTTTAGACTGGTCTAAGACTTTGTATGTTTTCAGCACAATACTGTGATTTCCTCCCATCTCCCACCACAGAGCATAAAGCCAAAACTCACCTGCAGAATAACACTGTCGGGCTGGTTGAAATTGGGAGCACTTGATCTTGCACTAGAGGAACCTTGAGTTGCTGGCCACAAACCTAGGAGTTTCCGTCCACAAGTCAGGACCCTGTATCAATAAAAAACAACAAATAAAAGTGAATTCAGACCCCTGTACTAATTAAGAACAATATTCCAGTAAGCAAAAGCAGTACAGATTGAGCATCCCTTATCCAAAATGCTTGGGACCAGAGGTATTTTGTATTTCAGATTTTGAAATACCTGTACTGGTATATACGTACATAAAAAGATATCTTGAGGATGGAACCCATGTAAAAACAAAAGTACACAAAAGCTTATGTCATAAAGTCAATTAATGCACAGGGTTCAGGAAGACTTTTTTCCCTCTGTGATAAGTCAATAAAACAGATATTTATTCCCAAAATATATCCTGGAAAGCTACACTCTATATTGTTTATTTATTTAATTCCCTGCATAGAAGCGATAGGAGTTGGGGCACATACTGCCGAAAGTTGAAGAGTGGAGTGGTGACCCAGCCTAAAGCCTCTGGGACTCGGCGCTGCTTGTTTGCTTCTGAAGAGCTCCCTGGAGGAGGGACTGGAATGGCATAGAGTGTGGCAGTCAGAAGGGTCTCTCGTGGTAGGCGGTTCACTTGAATTGGGAAACAGATTCTGGAAGAAGTTAAAGGGAATGTGTTACAGTATCAAGCTATTTCCCTTTAAGAAGCAAGGCTTTGATTTATACTGTAATGCTTTCAATAGGCAGGATCTTCTAAAGTAATCATTTCATGAAGGTCTTCCAAAATAGTTAGCTCATTTGCCATCACAGCAATCCTTTGAAGCTTTGATTTCCATTTTATTCTTAAATAAAATTCATTAAATAGAGAGAGTCAAAGAAACACTAGTACAGGGATCAGGAACTGTAAAGGAAACACAGATGTCGATTTCCACCTTTGGGCTCTCACTGATGAGTTTCATATTATACGAGTTGTACAGTATATGCAACTATAGCACTATGATTCCATTTTAAGTGCCAAAACTGCATCCCATTGAATCCGGGGATTTGTAGTCTGGTCCCAGAGATCTCTGGCTGAGAGTTCACAAATACCCTCCCTAAATGGCCAATCCTGAGATTCCATGGAATTGATCCATGGCAGTTAAAGGAAAATTATAGCACTATAACTATGTATGTAATTATGTAGTGTGAAATATTCACGTCACTTCTTGGAGTCTTTAACAGTCATGGGTGATGGGAGCTTTAGAGGGTCATGAAGCTATAAAAGGGACTGGGCTGCACATTTCCCATCCTCAATATAGGTTGCCCACCTATCTATTAGAGGCATTGTGTAGTGTAGTGATTTGAACACTGGGCTACAACTCTGGAGACCAGGATCTGAATATGAGTTCAGCCATGGAAACTCACTGACGACCTCATCAGACGGGCAATTTAGCATCCTAGGATGCTTTCACCCCATCTTCTGGACAGAGCCCCATACCAGGCATCACACAACATTGTGTGACTTCTGAAGGAGGCCCTGCTGCTGGAGGTGAAAGCACTGCCAGGGGCTTTCCCCACACTACAGGAGGCTTCCAATGGAGGCGAGCCAGCACGCGTCCTCTCTGGGAGGGCAACACTTCCCCCATGGAATGGGGAAAGCGTCACCAAGAGGGAGTTGCATACAGGATGACAAATTCACCCCACTGCCCCTCTCCTTTTGCCGTGATGCCAGGCAAAGTGAGATGCTTTGGCTGACATTTGTGATGAGGCCCTGAATGTCCTTAGACAAACTGCATTCTATGAGCCTCAGGGAGGCAAAAGGAAACCCTCTTTGAAAAAATCTTGACATGAAATCCCAATGATAGGGTCATCTTACGGTTTCTATAAGTCAGAAAAGACCTCAAGGAACAAAACAACAAGAATAAACCTATTTGTTGGATTTGTATCCATCCTTGTTCCCAAAAATGGGACTCAAAGAAAGTCCTAAGTAAGTTTGAATTAAAAATACAATTAAAACTTACACAAATTTAGAATGAAAACCAAGGAAAAGTTAACACCTATTTGGTAAATGGGTCCTTTCTCAGCAGTCAGAAGTTGAACAAGGGATATGCAATACAAGGAGCCGTTCAGTGGCAGAAAGGGAACTGCATGCTAGAAGCACAGCTTGGTGCCTGAGGGCAAGAAATACTAACAGGCCCTCGGGATATAATTACAGCTGTTATCTTGTCTGCCAGGCAAGGATATGGGGCAAAGGAGTTGGTGACAGGAGGTCCCCATTGGTGAAAGGAGAGCCAGGAGCAAGACCCTTACCAGTCCAATAGCAGCTAGACCCTTGCTGCATGCCATGTCCATTATAAATATATATTGGTCTAATTAGAATAGATGCAATGAATCAACTGTAATTCAACCTTTATGTGAAATTAGGTGCAGACTTTGTTACCTGGTTTACCACTTCTAAACTCTACTGTGCATTGATTATGAGGAAAGGTGGGCAGCTGAGCCAGCAGACCTCTATTACAAATTCACTGAATTCATAACTGTAGGGTTTGGGCAAAGACTATTTAAAAAACCACATCTCCATATATAAACCAACACAGGTGCTGAGATGGTGGAGGAGGCCCTGCTCTCAGCCCCACCTCTGTCTCAAGCACAGTTGGTGGGAACGAGAGAGGAGGCCTTCTCCATGATCGCCTCCCACCTCTGGAACTCCCTTCCCTATGAAATAAAATTGTCCTCTCTCTCCTCTCTTTTAAAAAACTTCTGAAAACCCATCTATGCACTCTAGCTTATATTTTAATGTATTTTAGTTGTTTTGATTTTGTTATGTTGTAAATGTGTTTGATGTTTATTTAAGCATTTATTTTTGTTTATTTAAGCACTTATTTTTGGCTAGTTATTATAAGTTCACATTGATGTTCTTTTAGTTATGGTTTTGATTTGGTCTGTCTGTTTGTTTTTTATTATGGCACTGAATGTTTGCCACTTTACTTCAAAGGTACTCCCCCTGGAGAGATAGCAGAGGTTATAAATTTTTATTATTACTATCAGGTCGTGTCCTATAAATAAAGGAAGTTTAGTGCACCAATGTGATCATTATCCTCATATTAATATATATTCAGGGATTTATATTCATAAAATAGAGTACCTTTGAAGTAAAGAAGGTCTTTATAGTTTATTTTATTTGTTTCCATACCAACATCAATATTATTTCAGTCTTATAGATGAGATTTGAGATCCTACATCTGTTGACTTGAAGGAGCACTATAGATTTAATACAGTTTGAGAGCACTTTGACTACCATGGCTCAATGCTCTGGGATCATAGGGGTTGTAATTATACAGGGTTTTTAGCTTTTTTGCCAAAGAGTGCTGTTACATCATCAAACTGCAGATCCTGAGTTTATATAGCATGGAACCATGGATGTTAATGTGGTGTTAAACAGTATTAATGCTATATTATAGCTGTGCCCTGAGTTATGGTGCATCACCCCTATACTGAATGCCAACATAGCAGAACCTATGTAGATCAACAGTCAGTGAGTTGTCAGTGAGCATGACTAACAACTCAATGTACAATTACAATGCACAAATTAATGCACATTCACATGCTCATCTTTGTACTTTAATGTGCTACTGAATGTACAATTTACAGTTCTACTTATGCCACTGTCCGTTGGATATGACTGCTGTCCATTGTTTAAAAAGATCACTCGACTTGTCTAATGCAACTTAGATATGTGTACGTCACTAAGAGAATGCCAGCCAAGGAATGGATAAGCAGTAACCCAGTCACAACTAGTCAGTTAAGTGCATGTCCTGGTGAACTTAAGGTCTTGCCAGTGAAAATATCCAACTGCCTGACTATGAACCACAGTGACTTTTCATGTTTAAAGGCTCAAGCACTGTAAAAGTATCATATAATCACCGTTATCATTGTCATCATCAACCACCATTTTTATAAAGAGCTAGAAAATTTACTCATTGTATTGCCTGATGTTGATTATTTTGCTTGTTAAAAGAAACAAAAGCTGAACTGGTAAGACCTAAACATTTTAAAATGCCTTTAACACCAGGTTCTATGTCAAAGAGACCAAAAATTGTTGTTGGTTTTTTAAAGCCATTGTTTGCTAACTGGTCACAAGTGTCAACAAAAATATTTGTGATTTCAACATTAATTTAAATATCAAGTTTGGTCAAAACCAGTGTATAAAGGTTTTGACCAAAAAGCAACAAACACTAAAGCAACAAACATTGAAACAGGAAGTGTTTGTTCTGGTGATATCTGAAATCATTGACAGATTCAGTTGAAACCCTTTCTGTGCTTTTCATTTTGTTCTCTTTATGTAACACGCCAAATTTAGTAACTTTACAAACAGAAAGACAGAAAAATACTTTAAATTCCAATATCAATTCTCAAGTTTGCTTGGAGATGACACATTCTTTCCTAGAAACCTTTCCCTCTAATAACTATGCATTACTTCATGTTGAGAAAATGGCATGCATTTTGAAATACTGTATGCAATAGTAAATTATTATACATCTTAATAGCATTAGTAATTTATTCATATTATGATATCGCCTTTCCAAGTCTGAGCTATGGCAAAAAGACCAGGATTTGTAATAAAACTTTAGTGCGATATGTCTCCAGTTGCAAGAGGAAATGCAACTGCCCGGACTCCCAAATTTCCATCTGGAGTTTCTCTAACTGGATGGGAGGCAGGCCCGTAGCCAGGATTTCATTTCGGGGGGGGGGGGCTGATTTTTTTCGGGGGGGCTGAGTTTCGGGGGGGGGGGGCTGAGCCTGAGTGAAAGAGGGTCTACCCTAGCAAACCTTTTGTATCATTACCCCAATACCCTCATGCATATGGGATATATTGAGTATGGTGATCAGATCATGATATGAATAAACATAACAGTTTAAGTAATGCACCAGTAAGGCCTTTTCGCGAACCACCATGAGAATTTCGGGGGGGGGGGGGCTGAAGCCCCCCGAGCCCCCCCCCCTGGCTACATGCCTGATGGGAGGGGAAAGATCCTACCATTAAGAGAAGAAAGGGGAGGGGAAGCACACACATACACTGACCTTGTTCAAGGGGTGTTTCCCTTTCTATACAGCCAGCACCTTAAAAGATGTGCAATCAGCAGGATCCTTTGTTGATCCTGTAGCGTTAGCAGAGCTGAAGAGTGTGGCTGGTCAGTGCAGCCCCATACAGGTACAGAGATAGTCCAAAGGTGCTGCACAAGTCTCCCATGCCTTAAAGCCTTCCTTACAGCTAGCTATAGCCCCTTGGAAACAGCTACAATGGTGGACTCCTTGTTAAGGTTTTCCCACTCTAGACTTTGTTCCATCTTAGTTCACTGAATTAAACATTAAACTCCAAGAGTTTAGGAAACGTTCGCCATGTTGCTTCTCTGTGTGTGGCAGACAGCTTCTAAAATTATCTTTGTTCCACCCCTTTTTCTGCTGGCATCGTAAAAATTCCTAGTGTAATCCGAGTAGGAGAGGCTAGCAGCCTTCCTGCTCCCTGGGTTATTTTAGGATCAAGTTCCCTTCCCCCTTCCATCTCCTATTTCACAGGTATATATGTAAATATTTAAGTATGTGTGTGTGTATTGATGAATACATATGTGCACATATGTATATATCAGTACACATACAGAGAGAAGATTGTGCATTGGGTTGAGAGAGGAGCATACCCATCTCCTCCTTTGTAATATGACACCCTTCGGAAGTTATTTTGTCAGGTTCTCAGATTCAAACTTATGTCCATGGTGTAGGGCGAGGAGCTGCCCAGCCATGCAGGGCTTTTCTGTGGAGTCACAAAAGCAGTAAGGGATGAGTCACCCTTTGCATAGCAGACATGTTTCTCACACTCCCACCATGGGAACTCCCACTGAGAAGGAAGAAAAAATGGAAACATGCCAGGAAGACATATGCAAGCAAGATTCCCTGCCATATGTTCCTTTCTTGTATTTATAGACATTCATTTTCCCACTTTTTAAACAGCATAGGGTTCACCAGCAGGCACAAAAAATAACTCCTGGACCCTTGGAATCTGCCCACCTCTTTATGTATGATTTGCAAAAAGAAGTAGTAGTCATATTGACCATACAAATTCCAAAATCCATATTAGAGTAATTATAAGTCAATTTTTAAAAGACACAAAGGTTGGTCTAACAGCAGTGATTCTCAATCTGTGGGTCCCTAGATATTTTGGCCTTCAATTCCCAGAAATCCTAACATCTGGTAAACTGGCTGGGACTTCTGGGAGTTGTAGGCCAAATCACCTGCGGACCCACAGGTTGAGAACTACTGGTCTAACAGTGTTGTTACTTAGTGCTGGTCCCAACGTTAAGCAAAATTAGGAAACTGATTTAGGTAGTGAACAGCAGCCCTGACAGGCACCAGGCTGCTCCTTCTGGACTCCACAGCTGTTGTATTGTGTATTGTATGTCGGTGAACCTGAGGCAATCTTATCATGGCGTTTCTTGATAAGATTTGTTAACAGTGGTTTCACCTTTGCCATCCTCTGAGGCCAGGAAAGTGTGTGACTTGCCCAAGGTGATCCAGTAGGATTCCATAGCTGAGCACTTTGAACCTTGATCTCCAGAACTATAGTTCAGTACTCACACCACTACACCAATCAGCTCTCAGTCATATAATACTCACCTATGACTATCCACAGCTATTCTGCCATTGTACTAGCTTTTGGTGTCTCCTTTCTATGGAATATTCTTCTTTTCCCCCAGTCTTTTTTCTCAACCTCACACCAGACACAGAGTTTAACACGTTCATAGATTATATGCATGTGCCCAGAAACAGAGCTTGATTTTGTTTGGAGCACAACTTCCAAAATCTCTCAACCATTGTGACCAATGACCAAAATACTAACATTTTCAAGAACTGAAGAGAAAGCTGTAAAACAGATCATACTGGGATAGTCCACTGACCTATCTACTTCACACTATTCAATTTTCCAACAACTGCCTAAGATTTTAGAAAAAAGGACCAGGTCCACTTGGTCCAAGACAACCCAAGACATTTTGCTACCTGGAGAAAGAAGTAGATTGCAACTTATCTCTTTCATTATATGCACAACTAGATTGGCAGCTGGGCTTTCTTCAACATGGGTGATAAGAACAGTTTTCACCACTATACCTAAAGGCAGCAGTTTTTCTTAGGAAGCACACATTTGGATACAAAATCCTCAATTCTCTGCTCTAACATCTGGTTGGCACCTTCTCCCTGCATCTGATGCCTGAACTGACCATCTCACTTTGCCTAATCATATGGCTGAGCCTGCTATCCGGAATTAATTCTGCAAACTTTGCATGTAAAACTGGTTCTCCTGCTTGAAAAATAACAACTTTTAATGTATTTATTTTTACCAGTTCACATAGAACAATATATTTACTGTTAACCCTTCTTCCCTTGAATACTAACAGTCTCAGAACTGGGAACCATTTCTCCCCTACTCAGATACTTTTCCACCCTTCCCTTTTTCTCCACCCTAATATTGATAAATAAATAGATGTCTTACTGTTGGTCCCAGATGATAAGATGAAAGAGATACTTGTATACATGAGCTTTCCGAGTTTGTAAGGGGCTGCAGAGCTCTTTGCCACCATGGCTAAGTGAGCAGGAAAGGTAAAAATCTTCATAGCTGCAGAAAGAAATCAGAAAAGAGAGGGACAATGATATAGAAAGGCTAGATGGAAAACTTCTTGATACTTCCATGTACAAAAAGGTAGGAACTCAGTTTTAGACAGACTGAATGCTGAAACTGAAATCAGCCTGCTGACCTTCAGTGCAGAAGAAAAACATGCTAGGAATCAGTTTTAATCCCAACTATGGAACAGCTTTTTCCAATTTCACCCTCACACTCCTTTGTCTGGCAGTCGGGGATGTCCCAATTTGGTGTATGACTATCATCTGCAAAGCTCCTTCTCAACTTTAGATTCACGAAAGCTCATGCTATCTGTCCAAAGCACCGTAAGTCCTTTTATCTGGACTTATTTTGAAGGAATGTGAAGAGATGGGCTGACAGTGAGTGGGGGTTAAGCATCTGTTCTGTTTTAGTTGTTCCAACAAAATTTTAAGAGGAAATGTTATGTTTGCATTTTGATCTATTATTAACTGGCATTGAGATGTAAAACAACACATGGGACGGGTAAATATTTTAATGTACTGTAACCTAATCTATTGTAACACCTCTTTACTAGGTTTAAATATAACAAGTTGTTTCCCCTGCTCATACTTCCAATGTCTGTTTCCCTCTTCTTCCTCTGTTATTCCATGATTTTGTTTTTAGATTGCAAACCACTTTGGAAAGAGATCTATCCTCCTCTTCTTTCAAAGTGCCAAGTACAAAAAAATGTGTAATAACAACAACTAATAAGAAGTGCTAATAATAATAAAATATAAACAGATTACCACAGAGCAACACATGTCCTCCATATGTTTTGAGCCAGTTTTCAGCAGTTAATTTTTTCTCAGAGACAAACAGAGATGGTAAGCAAGGGCAGACATTATCTGCTGAATCCAAGCATACTGTTTCTCCAATGACTTACTTATTTACTGTTGTCATGCCCATGGCTTTCCCCCCCCTTCTGCTATAATTGGCTATGCTAGTGCAGTTACATTGGTTTAGTACACTAGCAAGACTCCAGCCTTGGACTACACTGATACCACTTGCTATGACTTTAATGGTCAGAAAGTATGTTAGCTGTACGCATCTCAAGGCCTTTAGGTTGTTCATCCTTAGTAATATGCTCTGAGTCCCCTTGGGGATATAGAGCGGGTTATAAATAAATTATTATTATTATTATTATTATTATTATTATTATTATTATTATTAAAGCACATACTAAGTGGAACAAAAAGAACAGGTAAAGGTCTCAGGACTTTAACATTCTTCAGAACCCAGCTGAATTTAATTATCATACACATCACTAATTGAATTCAGGAAATTGATTACTGAAGATAATAATATTCTGTCTCAGAGCAAAGATTTTTTTCTCCTGAGAAAGATCTTTATAGATCTTGCAAATCACAGATTTATGTCAGACTTCCTCAATTCCATGTCTGCCAGAAGTGATGGATTGCAACTCCATAATATAGTTATCTAGGAATGACAGGATTTGTAGTCCAGCACTTTGGGAACATGCTTTGAATGTGATTTTCTTGCTTCTTGGCAGGGGGTTGGACTAGATGGCCCATGAGGTCTCTTCCAACTCTATGATTCTATGAGCACACCAGAGATTTGTAGTTTACTACCTCGGAAACACATATTCTAGGGATTCCTTTTTGAGTTCATGGATTAAAAGCATTTGAATAGAGAGGTTGTACCAGCCACACTGCTCTTTAAAGTATGTTTGCAGGATTAGCAAGCTAATTTCTGTGCTCAATTAAGTTCACTTTGATTAAACTGAAATCTGAGACGCATGATGATAGAATCCCCCTTCCTTCTGCTTTCTGACAGATCTTAGCCCATTTACATCTCAGATTCTTTATCAAAGGAGAAGCTAGATGGGAACTACTCTCCCACACACATTTTCAGGGGCCCCTCCCCTCATCTCCAAACATGGGGGTGTTTTCCTCTGATGTTATCTTTGGGGGGAGGTGGGGGTGGTGAACTGCTCTCCTGACATGCCTCCCCGCCAGCTGGGTTGCCGTACACCATGCAGAATGCCATCACATGGCACTCTGTCAGAAGAGCCAGCCATGTGACAGGTGCCAAGCGATGATGCAGGGAGGGCTCCAGGGCAACAAAGGTCAGGACAGGCCTGGATTTCCCAGGCTACTGCCTTTGTTCAGAGTCACTCCCTGGAATACATTAAAGTGGAGACAAAGGCAAGAGGTCCCTGGAGGGAGGGGGCGGCTCATGTTGTCATCACCTCCTCAACCAGCCCCCTCCCACGTTTCTGCTGCCGTAGGGATATGGATTCCCCATGGGTGCCTCCCAGACGCTGCATCCCTGCCTTCAGAGAAACACAAACACATAAGCAAAGGCTGCTGACAAAAGGGATGTCCCCTCCCTGACCAGGCGTCTTATTGTCCCCTGGATCCATTAAGCAATTCCCTTCCACTAACAGGCATTGGCTGAGAGGGCATAAGTCCAGGCTGAGAAGCAGCCATCTGTCACTGGAGAGCGGGGTCCCTACAGCCATGGCTTCCACTGCGGAAGCATTTCAGGGAACCTCTAGAAACAGCTCTGGGTGGGAGTCTGAAGGCTGCATTGCCCTGGGGAGTGGTTAACTCTTTCATAAAGGTTTTCCCTAGTGCTTCCATCTCAGCCAGTCAGCTTGCTCCATTCCTTCAAATTGAAATGTGTTAAACGAGTTATTTTAAAATTTTAATCTAGTTCTGAATGGATTCTAAATAGCTCACCAGCATTGTTAAGAGTGACATCAAATACCTCTCTTGCAGTTCTTGTCAGACAGTGTAGGATCTACATCAACTTGAGATGGTTTTAAAGTAGATACTGTATCACTGATTTTAACGTTTGTGTATATTTATAGTTATTTTATGTCCAGGCATGGAATGCTTGCCGTATATATGTTGTGCTGCGCACTGAGTCCTCTTCGGCATGGAAAGGGCAGAATATAAATGTTTTAAATAAATAAATAAAAATAAATAAATTTTCCAGCCATCATACAGTGACTCAGATTTAACATTCAAGGTAGAGGGAATGTGTAACTCTCCATCCCCATCAACCCCAGCCCAACTTCCCTATTAAAAGGTGAAGGCAAAGGTTTCCTCTTGACAGTCTACTCATGTGGGACTCTGGGGGATGGTGCTCATCTCCATTTCTAAGCCAAAGAGCTGGTGTTATCCACAGATGCCTCCAAGATCATGTGGCCGGCATGACTGCATGGAGCACTGTTACCTTCCCGCCAAAGCAGTACCTTCTGATCTACTCACATTTACACGTTTTTAAAAGACTAGGTTGGCAGAAGCTGGGGCTAACAACGGGAGCTCACCTCACCCGCAGATTTGAACCGTTGATTTTCTGATCAGCTATTAGTTATCTTTAAATGATTAGGAAAGGAAGACAAATACCAAGGAAAGCAATTCAAGACAAGTTCAGGCTCTAAAAGGTTGACAGAACTACAAGGCAGTGAAATTCAGTTAAGACAATACTGGGCCGCCTGTGTTAACATCAAGCCAGAAGTGATACAAAAAATAAAAAACATCCATGGACAGCAGGGCTGGGCAACTGGAGTCTTTCTAATGATTTTGGACTATAGCTTCCAGTAGTCCTGGGTAGAAAGTCCTTTGTTAACGAATCATGGCAAATGCAGTGCAAAACCCCCTAAAAAACCACAAGTGCTCATCCCTGGTCTATACTTTTCTTTCTAGATTTAAATGCAGGTGCCAGGATGCTTTCTAGGTGCCACAGGAAAAACACAAATGCTTACCTTGTAGCCCAAGTGATAGGTATACGATGTGTGGCGTACACTGTAAAGGAGAGGGGGCAAGAAAGAAGGCAGGCTTCTTGGGAGAGATAATGCTTTCTGTTCTCATGTACCACAGTCTGGAAGTCTGCATTGAATGTGTTGCAGTAGAGTTCCACTAGATCCAAGATGGAGGCTGTCAAAGCTTCCACAATTTTCTCTGTATGGGAGAGGAGTCAAATAAACACTTTAGAATTAAGTGTGCTCCTGCAAAGTATAGATGCAGGCTCAACTTTCTGACCACAGTTTTGTTATCAAGTTTGCTTTCCAGTGCTGTTAAATGAAGTTCAGAATGACTTTTGCAAATCCTATGAAATAGGATCTATATGACAGGTTCTATTATCCTGCAAATTTATTTATATCCAACCTCTCCACTGTCATGTTAGAAGTCCTTTCCTGTATCTCATCAGATGAGTCTTTGATAGTGTAACACTAAGAGAAATGCTTCCTCTTAAGATTCTGGTATGTCCATATAGGGAGAAATGCACAAAGAATAATAAAGGGCGGAACATATAGCCTTATGTTGCAAATAGATAATAATTTGCAATCTCTATAACCTGAAAGGCTGAAATGTGTAGTTTTAGGCCCCTTCCACATACCTGTATAAATTCCACACTGAACTGGATTACATGGCAGTGTGGACTCAGATAACCCAGTTCAAAGCAGATATTGTGGATTCTCAGCCTTGATATTCTGGGTTATATGGCTGTGTGAAAGGGCCCTAAGAATGAATAAAATGTATACTTCCTGACACCAACCTATAAATAACAATCTGCCAGAGCGGCCCTACTCTCAGTACCACCCCTGTCTCAGATGTGGGTGCTGGGAACAAGAGAGAGGGCCTTTTCAGCAGTGGCTCCTCAGCTCTAGAACACCTTCCCCTAAAAACATCAAAATGGCTCCCTCCCTGCTATCCTTCAGAAGGCAAGTAAAAACCTTTATCTGGAAGGAAACTTTTGGGGAAGACAATGGGTAACCTGTTAATGGGCTGTTGGATTCAATTATGGCAATAAGATGGAATTGGCTTTTAATATAATTGGTTTTAATATCTAATACTGTTTATCATGTTTATAATGTATCGTTGTTTTAACTTTTGTGTTCTCTGATTTTTACGCACTTTGTTTTATTATTGTATTATGTTTGAATGGCATTGAATTGCTACCGAGTGTTAGCCACTCTTAGTCCCTCAGCGAGGAAGAGAGGGCGGGATCTAAAACAAAGTAAATAAATAAAATGAATAAATAATACCATATTCACAAGATCCTCTGTAAAAATGAGAAAAGCACAAATATTCTTTTAGTTGTTTGCCTGAAAGAATGTTTCTGAAGGTCTTTCACCACAACCCTATGGTCAGCTCAGCTTCCATTAGATTCATTCTGGAGGACCCATAAATGCCCAGATAAGTGTTATCTCTAAGAATCTCTAGGTCCTGCATCATGACTCTGTCATTAACTACTGTCGGAAGATGAACACAGAGTCACATGAGTCCCCCAAGAGGTTGAGAAGGGCGGGGTAAAAGTGTTCAAAATAAATGAATAAATAACCTAGAGATATTAATCAGATCCATGAATGATCAAATCTACAAAAGTAAAATTAGCACATTTGGATGGCCAACTGTACAATCTATCCTATATCATATCCCTTCATTCTCTAGGTTTTCCGCTAAGTTGAGCTCCCATCAGATACAGTGCAGATCTCTTACACATGCAAAAATATTATTTAACAACTATATAACATTTTAGTGAACATGGACCTCACAATAGAATTCAAAACTCTTCTCAAGCTAAAACCTTTTTATTCAGACAGGCTTTTAAAGATGAAGGTTTTAAAGATCAAGTCAGGGGACACTGTCATTTTAACTTTCATTATGTTTAAATGGATTTAAACTGTGAATTTTTTAAATACTGCTGATATTTAATGCTGTTTTAATGTTGCATATTTGCATATTTTAAATAGTATGCTAATGCTTTTATGTTAAGCCACTTTGAGTCTCCTTAGGGAGAGATAAAGCAGGGTATAAATAAATATAGTAATAATCTAGAAAGAATTTTTGCTTGACTGCAATTGCGTCTTCTCCTACACTGACTATGATCTTCACTGACTATGAACACATACCCAAGAGTTTCCGTTTAAGGATCTCCCATTTATGTCTATTTTGAGCTTCAAATAATTTGTTAAGGTCATGAGAACTGTGGGGTGATCACTATTTGAAAAATCCGCTCCTAAAATTCATTATAACTGGGAGGAATCAGCATAGCTAAGACATCTAGTCAGTAGCTTTTTCCTCTCTAGAAAATCATTTTACATTGAAGACTCAAAGGGCTACTATTAATACCACTATGATAGTAATTACCAATATGAGCTGCTAATGAAATAACAATATGCCATAATTTAGATTCAGACTAAACACTCTAAGGGGATGTGGAATGTAAAAAAATTCTTCAACATACATGCACAAGGGAATAGGAATCATTACCTCTGTTTTCTCTCATGGCCAAAACATTTGGATCCTGTTCAGGAAAGAAAACCAGAACAGAAACATTTTAGGACAACCAAACAGAAATGGCAGCAGTTCCCTGAGCCAGATGCCTTATATAACATTCATCAACGTGTTTCCCCTCCCAGCAGTTCAAGCCAGTCCAAATGAGACAGAAAAGCAAGTAGCTAGATTTCTTCAGCTTTTTAGGAATTTTAAATACAAAATGTTCAGTTGGAGATAATAGAAATATAATCTGAAAGAAAGGACATACAGGGTTTATATGTACTCTTTGAAGGAGCCCTGATTAAGTCAGTGACAAGCAAAAGCTATCATATTTTATTAGTATTGGCTGAGCATTGAAAGCAAATATTGGAGAGATTGGCATACATGTTGCTCCAGTTTTAATCAAGGCCAATGCATCAGGCAGTGAAGCAGCCACATCAGCAGCAAGCACAGCAGGAGCACAAAACTGTTCCTGAGGTCTCCGATCTTTTCTTTCGCTTGGAGGATAGAATTATGTGAATGTTACATAGCCTCTCCAATCTCTCTGATCCAGACACTGGAAACTACATTGTTCAGAATCCCCCACCAGTTTGGCCAGAATTGGGAATTATAGTCCAAAAAAGCAATTCTACTCTAAAATAGCCCATTTCACTCAGACATGCTGGTGGACTTTGTCAGTGCTAAAAAGAAAGACCAGTAAGCTTTAGGACTAATATTGCCTAAGCCTGGTTTTAATAAATCATATGAATCCCCTTTCCCCCCCTCAATTCATGCCATTCATTTACATTAGCAGGGCAAACAAAAAGGACAGTCTTCTGCATGTTTACACAGACATAGGTTTCACTCTTTTCAAATGGCCTTACTCTTAGTTTCAGTTACTGATCTTTAGCTCAATTCACATTCTACAGATTAGAAAACTTCCTACAGGCTTACTGAATTTTCCCAGTAATGCTGGGAAATATGCAAACCAGCAACACAAATTAGTTCACTGTGAACCTGCTAAATAAATACATCATGCAGCTTCCTGCAATATGCAAAGCTGCAGGTATGACACAGTAAATATCTGTCAGAATGCATCTCCCCCTATGAACAACTGCGGAGACTAAGATCTTCTGGGGAGGCCCTGCTCACGATCCCGCCACCATCTCAGGCACGTTTGGTGTGGACGAGAGACAGGGCCTTCTCAGTAATTGCCCCTCGGCTATGGAACTCCCTTCCTAATGAGATCAGGTCAGCCCCCTCCCTCTTGTCCTATAGAAGGATGATTAAAAACGTAGCTGTGAGACCGAGCCTTTGGGACTGTGCAATGAGGCAGTGATAGGAGCCCTTAGTATGCCAACCAAATTCAATATGGTTGTTGAGACAGTTTTAACTAGAGGATTATAACATCAAGATACGTTATTTTTATGCTTTTGTATGTGTATGGACTAGTATGTTTCAGCATTGAATGTTTGCCGTTTATATGTTGTGCTCCTCCCTGAGTACCCCTTGGGGTGAGAAAGGCATAATATAAATGCTTTAAATAAATAAATAAATACAAAGTAAAATTTATGGTAAGCAGTGATCTTATAGTTTGCTTTCAAAACAAACATGGTAGGAAATTGCTTTGTTACTTTTTCTGACATATTTCTTACTTTATTGTGTAAAACAAGTATAAAACGATGGAGCACAGGAAGGTTGAATTAACTCTCACTATTATTTCAGCTTTGGTTTTGGTGTTCAAACTTGAAACCCGAACTTTCTGCCTCAAATTTCTGCTTCTTACCTTCTGGATTTTGGGCTGCATACGAGAGGGACAAGGTGGTAGCTGATTCAAGGCTCCCGTGATCTCCTGGGACTCCACAGCAGCCAAAGCATTGCAAATGGCCATGACAGATTGGATCACTCGCTCTGCCTTCAGCTGGAAGTCTCCCTGAGTGAAGAATAAAAGAGGTTCTCATGTCTCAAGATACCAGCAGATGGGGCCAACAGACATGGCTATTAAATGCATCTTTGCATTTAACTTCCAGTTTTCAATATAATGCTGTTTGTTTCAACTGGATGACTTTATAATTATCCAGATCTCAGCAGATATTATTGGGAATTTAACCTCAAACCTGTGGTTCCTGGTGCTAAGGGAAGACCTCAGCTGAAGCCGGGATTTGTATTGGAAAGAAATCTCCCAAAAATGTCACATGGAGATTTTTCACAAAAATAAATATGATTGAAATAATGCTCCCCAAACAGGGAGAGGAACTTAAAAACACCTGGACTAAGTGCTGAGAACCATTGCATTAAAGGCATTTTCACATGCGAAGAAAGCAGCTAAAACTAGCTGTTGCTCTAGTCAATTCATTAATGATTCCTTCATCTGTCACTTTATTGCTTAGACAGGCAGTTCAGCTATAACTAATAGTCAGGTGTAGAGAGAAGGAAAGAAAGGAAAGTGTAATTTGTCAACCCATCCATGCATTTTATGGCGTAACCTCCAGCCCAGAAATACTTCGGCCATGCTCCTATGACACCACAAATAGACTTGCATACTTCATTAAACAGAGGGGATAGATGAAAACAATTGTAGCATACAATATGACCCCATAACTTGTGGGACCTGTAGCTGCAATTGCACCTACCCACATATGACAAAATATGTCCTCTGTAGGAATTGTCTAGGACCTCCAGGCAATTCTATGGTAACTTCTGGCAGAAAATGTTCTTTTCAATAGGGTGCACTATTATACATGCTTCCTGTTACCATGGTAAGTTCAGAAATATATATACCCCACAGGTATAGATTCATACTATACTTTTTCAGATATGAAAAAGTGCATGTTTGCAGATATGTTATTTCTGTACTCCTCAGACTGAATGCAGGAAATGAAAGTAGGATTTGATTATATCTTGATGGAAGCTTATGTTATGGAAGTATAAAGGTATACCCTCAATGGTGGAGAAATAACTTAACTGGAAGGTCAGTAGTTTAGTAGGTGTAAAGTCTTATGCTTACTCCTTGAATATCCTTGGGTCCACCACTCAGTCAGAAACATGCATCCATAATTTTTGCAATAAGGGGTGAATAAGGTTCCACTTTCTAATCAGGAATATTTATTTAAACTGTACAGCTCTTTATAGGAATTAAAAGGGTAGTCTTTACAAAGGTTTCATTAAAAGCAGCCAAAAATAAATATGTTTTTACTGCATTTATCACAAAGGAAGGGAAACTGAAATAAAGAGTGGATACGCTGAAAAGGAACTTGCTATCAAAAGCTGCTGCCATTGTCAAGAACAGAACCCAGGGATTACACTCAATCTGTTTTCTGTTTTGATAGATAGAGTGTATCACCATGTAGACCAGTTTCTTGGCTGCCATCCCAAACACACTTGCAGCTGGCCACCCTAACCTTATGCTGGGAAATCTGAATTTCAAAGAAGGATCGTCCACTGGAATGGGGAAGTAAACAAGCAAGCAGTGAGTTGTTAGATAACATAGAGGAGGGGAGCCAGGTATCAAGGCATATATTTTATAGGTAGGCTTATCCTCAGTGGGAAAAAAATTAAAATCTCATCAGCATGAAGCAAGAGGTTAAACAATCTGAGATGACAAAATAAAGAACCTTTAGGATAGTACAGTAGAGAAAAATATTTGCAATGTATTTTCTCTCTAATATATATATAAAAAAACATAGTACTTTATAATGAGTGTATGCTTATTTTCAGAATATTCAGCAATGCTAAAAATCCACATATAAGCAAATTCTGCATTGTTGCTGACTCATGACAACCCTAAGTCAACTCAATCTTGGGGTTTTCTTGGCAGATTTTGTCCAGGAGGGGTTGCCACTGTCACCCAGTGGCTTTCCATGGCTGAGCAGGGATTTGAACCCTGGTCTCCCAGTGTCCAATACTTAAGCCAGGTATAACACACTGATTCCGTTATTGGGTATTGTGCTATGATACTGAAAGAAGTGTAATTGTAGGCTCGCAAGCATCTTCTTTTGCTTCTAAAAGAACAGGCTATTAATCAAAGCAAGCCATGGTAAGGATGAGAACGTGTAAGTCTCAAGAAGCATGGAGAAATGGAACAGTTTATAAGGAGAACAGTATGGCTTACAATGGGAAAACTGAAGATGAAAATGTAGGGCAGTGCAAAAAAAGTAAGGCAGTGCAAAGGTTCTGGCTTTCGCAGCAACAGCACTCTCTCTGTGTGTGTTATTGTATCTTCTAAAGATGGTTATATTGTAAACAGGCATCTACTGATACTATAGCAATTAAAAAGTATACTTTGGGCAAGGTTCTCAATGTACTCTGTCCCTAAGTGTATTCCCACCAATAGTAGCCACAAAGCACATCCTGAGTGCTAGCAGCTCTTTTAATTTCATTTTAATTTCCCAATGATGTATCTGGGGCTCCATAACAATGTTCTGTTAGAGGGCTGTCTGTTGTGTGTGGGCACCAAATCCGCAATAAGCCTGCTGCTGGCCTTGCCAAACCCTGATCTCAGGACTGCTTTTAAAAGTTGGCCACTCTGTCCCATTCTCCTTCCCCTATTCCCACTACAGCATTAATCTTACCTCAGCAGCTAGGAATGCATCAACTTCATTATGAAAGGTATCAAAGAGAAGACTCAAGGCCTGCCTGTTGGAAGAAACAACAACAACCAGCTCAGCCGCAAAAATGGAAACAAGAAGTCACATTTGCTTCATATATAAAAACCAACATGATGTTAAGGTTAGGCTCTCTATTCCACTTCTTATTTGTGTGGGACCATTGGTCTACCCAGCTGAGATCCAGCTGGTAGAAGCACCACAGGGTACTAGACAAGTACATTTCACAACTCCCATCTGGAGCTACCAGAAGCCGAAGCTGGCACTATTTATATGCAAAGCACTAAAACAGAGTTTCCCAAGAATCCTAGTGGTAGTCACACTACTAGCTTCACTCAAGACCTCCAATGCAAACGTTCTCATTCATTTTATTCCACAGGAACTATAAAAAATACTCTAAACCTCCCAGCTAAGATCCTGCTTTGTTCATCTTTACCTGGTGATGGTTTGCTTGATTGGCCTCTCCTGGAGGTGAACATAGTGGTTGAGGGTAGAAGGACTTTGGTCATCATTCACCTGCACAAAAGGGGGCAATTGTTCAAATATGACCAGTATATCTCTGCTTGAGGTACAGGAGGTGCCAAGATGGTTGCACTCCCTAATGTACTGTATGTTTATGCAATCCACGAAAATGTGGCTTCTGGGTCAGCTTAAGAGAAGATGGGAATGGAGACCAAATTCCATCCCAGCACATGTGTTATTTAGAGGAACAGTCTCTTGAAAATGTTTTTTTCTAAATCAGAACTGGACATCTATAGTAAGCAGAATAGACATGTAGTCTACTCTGCTTGTCCTATTGAAGCAATATGGCTTAAACTGCTTTACATATAATTCTTTGTATGGAAATATAAAAACACAGGACCATCTACTGCTATGACAACAGTGACAATATTTACATCACATTGTAATAAAAATTCACAAAAATACCCCCAAATAGTGATTTTTTAAAAATTTTCACCACACCTCCAACCTATTCAACTACATGTTGTTCTACTTGTTCCTTTCCTCATTAGATCTAATAGAAGATATTCAGAATATAGACAAGACGTACTGAGAGACACATGCACTGCTTTTGCAACATTTTTCTCTGTCCAAGAAGAGTACATGACAGTAATATTCGGGGTAGTGAAACACAGCAAGCCAAGATGATCTTTTTAGTATGGTTCTGTTGCCAATATGGTATAAACACACTAAAAGCAAATATAGATAACAAAAGAAACAGGCATATTGTTAGGCTAAATCAGTTCTCCTTCAAGACAAGCAACCAAAAAGTTTATCCACACTCCCAAATATGTTTGGAACTTTTCTCCTTGCTGTTTATAATGTCAAACAAACAGAAGTATATTCAATCTGATTTTGCAAGAACAAACACATTTTTAGGAAGCAATGTATTTGTCCTTGGATGCTCAATGCCAAATGGGTATTTACCGTCCTTGCCAAGTCAGTGCACACAGCGGTCCTCTTCATCAATTGCAGCCGGATGTCAATGTCAAACTTCCTGCAGTGCTGAATATATTCATGACTTCCCAGTGGTTGCTTACTATAAGGACAGAAACAAATAAATACATTTAAATAAACAGCTTCATTCCTCTGTTATGTAAAGACTACTCCAGGTATGAAACATTTTCAAAACTTATTGTTCAATCAGGAGCTTCTGACATCCAGTATATAACAAAGAACAAAAATACCCCTGCTCTCCACCTTTTTAACCTTGGACAAATGGGGTAATTCAGGGAATAGCTCAGATCAATGCCTCAGGGAAACAACTATCTGAAAATTCCATAGTTAGGCTTTATTTTTCTGGAAAAAAATATGTATATGTCCTTCATCCAGTGTTCCTTTATACTAGGCATCCGCATCATCCAAAAAAATACTGCTACTGAAAATTGTAATGAAAGCTTCAGGAACAACATACTAAAGTATGGAAAATCACAGTAGTTAAAAGTGCTGAATTGGGATTTGGGAGAATCGAGGTTTTTTTTCTCTTGAGCCATGCTCACTGGATGATTTTGGACCAATTACTCTCTCTCAGCCTACTCTACCCCACAGGATAACACAGGGAGGAGGAGACTTAAGTATGTTGTTTTGAACTCATTGGAAAAAAGATAGAACATAAATGTTACCAGTAAATACAGTACAGTCCCTTATCTGTTGACTCAATATCCAAAAATTTATTGCATTTCTCCATACACCAAATATATTTCCCTAGAAGTCTTCGTGTGTTTTACTAGGTCCTCCAGTGCAATGCTGTGATATTCTTTCGGACCAAGCATATCATACAATAGCACTGGAAGACCTAGAGAGGTCCACAAATGGAAGTGCTTGTGAACCTACGTCCTCCAGTGCTATTCTACAGCAATACCCAACCCAAGAATAGTCAAAATATAGGATACAGGGAACCCCCAAGTTACGAACAAGATAGGTTCTATAGGTTTGTTCTCAAGTTGAATTTGTACGTAATTCAGAACAGGTACATTTTTTAAGTGTAACTCCAGCCCAAAATATGTAATTTTTAGCTTTGGATAGCACAGGAAAGGGTTAACACCCGTCATGTTTATTTTGCTGTCTGTGTGCCTGTTCAGAAGATTTCACCACACTTTCTGTCCCTGTGATAATTGGATTTTGAAAAATTTGGCTTGTTGTGGAAACAAGGATTGGCAATAAATAACAGCAGCAACAACAACAACATTATAATAAAAAAACTTTATTTGTATATTGCTCTATCTCCCCGAGAGGTCTCAAGGCAGTTACCAACATAGGGCAAAACATTCAATTACCAACACAAAATCATATAAATAACCATTATAAAACATAAACATAATACTATTAAAACAAGAATACACATTTCCAGTATTATTCCATTGGGAAAGCTTCAGTTGACACACCTTTTCCCCATCATAACTCTTTCAGTAGTGATTTCCCTTCCAAGGGGTAGTTTTCTTCCTGTTGTCTTATCCCTATTCTCAACTATGAGTCATTTGTAAGTCAGATGTTTGTAACTCAAGGACTGGCTCAATATAGAATGTTGAACTTAATTTTTGTACATAATGACCTAAAATAAATACAGTTTAAATTTTGACAACAATTTAAAAAGAAACCTGAGAGTGAAATTAGCAAAATCATAATCTGAATTGTTCCAGTAAATGCACTGCAGTGTCCTTCTAGCTCTTGACCTCCAGCACAGCCTATGTGAAAGGCACACACATCTACTATACACCAACATTTAGATTTAGGGAAAATAACTTTTGTGGGTTACAGCTTCTACAATCCTCCAAGCAGCATGGCCTCTGACTGAGAAATTCTTGGCTTTTTAAAATTGTTCAACACATTTAAAACATAATATAATTGCCATGTCACATGATCTATTCGCAAATCTATACCTCCCCACATGCACAACATTCACAGAGTTATACAAATTTTCATCCATGACATATTATTATTGTAATGTTTTCTAATTGTTCATCCACAATCTTTCGTGATTTAAATTTGCCACTGCTTTTACACATGAAGCAGTGGCATAAGTCCATGTCTTATCAAATAGATCTTCTTTTATTTCTCCTTTTGCTAGTCTTAATTTACAGATTAACTTTTCCAATAGGGCTATTGCCCACATCCTGTTTAACTATTTCAAGTCTTGTGGCATGAAACATGAGCAACATAATATTTTTATTTACCAAATCTTTATTCTTACTTTCAACTATAGTAATCAGTAAGAGAGGGTTTCTGAAATGTGCTTCCCCCCATTATTTGGCTTCTCCATGATAGAACTCTATCCCAGAATATTCATACTTTTGGGCACATTAACCACGTGTCTCTAAACCCATATTTATTTTGTGGGTTAAAGGTAAAACTAAAGGTTTCCCCTTGACATTAAGTCTAGCCGTATCCAACTCTGGGGGGTGGCACTCATCTCCATTTCTAAGTCGAAGAGCCAGCATGACTGCAATGAGAGCCATTACCTTTCTACCAGAGCAGTACCTATTGATCTACTCACATTTGCATGTGTTCGAACTACTAGGTTGGCAGAAGATGGGGATAACAGTAGGAGCTCACCCCGCTCCCCGGATTTGAACCACCAACTTTTCGGTCAGGAAGTTCAACAGCTCAGTGGTTTAACCACTGCACCACTGGGGCTCCATTTTGTGGGTTACAGCTCCCAAAATTCCCCAAGCAGAATGGCCTCTAGTTGAGTGATTCTTGGAATTGTAACCCTGAAATAACTTCCTCACTTTCTCCTTTTGATTTATTGTTTAACAAAGGATCCAATCCTGTACACACTTTCCTGAAAGTATGATGCCATTGTATATTTCAACTTTTGCAATTCTAAATTGTCTAACATGGGCTGGAAAGTCCTGGAGCCCCAAACCCGGCCCACCGCTTGTGATCATGATGAAACATGTCAACAGAAGCACTGCTATAGCAAGGGCAGTCACAACAGGAAGCGTGGCCCTTTCACCAGCGGATCTAAAAGAGAAGGTCAACTGTTATCTCCAATGAGCCCACATCCTGACCTAAACCAGTACATCAACCATCACCCGAGAGAGTAATTTTCAGAGGCAGGAGAGAGGGAAGCTGGTTGGAGGCAGAGGGTGGAAAGGGAGTGGGCTCTATTTTTAAAAGGAAGATGGGAAAGTAAAAAAACAAAAAAACAAACCCACACAGGCTGGAAAAAGGAGATAAGGAAAACATGCTGATAAAGCACCAACAGTACAGTCTCAACAGGGAAGGTTTTGCATTCATTTTCTTATGCAAGCTGGCTTAGAAGGGTTAGGATCCAGCAGATATGGGTTCTTTTGGAAACATGTACGTCTTATGCTACATCCTTTTTTTAACCAGGTTCTAGGAAATTTACATTTGAATGTTATTTGTTCCTAGAAGAAATGAAAGATCAAGCCAACTGAGAGAAAGCCACAACCAAATAAATGTATTATTCAACTGACAAACAAATGTGCTATTAGAACATGTCCATATAGCCCGAAAAACCTACCACAACCCAGTGATTCCAGCCATCGACAATAAATGTGCTATTAACATTACTGTACTTTTTATGCTAGTGGGTAGAAAGTGCTTGTGGGCACTTTTTAAACTTTCAGAGCCAAAATAACAGAGTCATTCTTGGATGCGATGCATCTTAACTTGAGAGTTAATGACAACATTTGTTCTTGTGCCTCAGGCAGTGAAATATCATGAGCCTGTTTACTGTCACTGCTGCCTATCAGTCATCATGACTAGAACTGATGGGAGTTGTGATACAGTAACATCTGGAAGGCTGCAGCTTGTTCCGTTTAGTCAGGAGAGTGAGGTTGAATCTAGATTCAAGGCTTGTGGATATGATGTCCTTTAACCTTACCCCAGCCTCAGAGCCACAAGTGCTGTTGGGTCGCATGGTGGATAATCAAAAGTGGTGGAAGTTGTCACTGAACAACATCTGGGGATCCAAGTTGAGTAAAAACTAAAGAGCACCAACCACTATGTAAAGAAATTATAGTTGGCTCTCTATAGCCATGGGTTTGGCATCCACTGATTCAATCTCTCTTTGAAGGCAATCATAAGGATGATGTTGCCCTTGATGAAAATTAGTTTGACACCCCTGCTTTAATGGATAAACATTCTAGGCATTAAGAAGCTGAAGTGCCGACTAAAAATATGGGAGACAAATGAAAATCTATGCTGGTTTTGGAGCCAGGCATCTGTGTCAACAGATAGTGGAGGATAGAGAAAATAAATCCTCACATAATAGCAAAAGAAAAACCTACACTCTGTCCTACAGAGAGATGGCTTTATTGTGGCTCCAAGTCCCATTTAATTCTCCAGGATTTAAGAAGCATGGCAGGATTGCAAACTTTAACATTTAAAATTAATTTATGAGACCAGACCTATCTTTTAGTTCCATATCTCTCTCACTTGTTGATATTCTGAAAAGTTTATATTTAATCTGATTTTAAAAAACTTACGTTGGTACCTAGGATACTCTGTAAACCTTCAAAGAACTACCCCATACATTTTAGGGTTCAAAAACATATTTTGTCAGGCAAAAAAATTATTATGCATAAGCTATGATTTATCCATATGATACTGATGAAGGACCAAATAACTGAAGGAGCATTTCTTTCCCAATCAACCTGCCCCTGACTTTAAGAGGATACAGCAAAGTAATTCCCTGCCCGGTCCACATCATTTTCTAATAATGCTATTTTTCACTTTATATAATGTTATATTTTCCAACAGACATGAAAATGCATGTGCTTAAAAGCACAAAATGTATGAGAACATTCTCTTCAGTTACTTGCTCACTGAAAAAAAAAATCACAGCAAAGCATTTGTGGTTTGAGAATAAAAATTATTTTGCTAGCTCACTGCCGAGTCAGCAAGAGAAGCTACAAAACTGGCAATGCATCAAGCCAACATTGCAGCCAAGTTGGCCTGGGGGAAGCTGTTGGGAAGGTGAGCAACTCAGAGGATTATGCTAAGGAACAAAGTCTGGATTCCCCATGCAAGTACTGAACAGGTTACAGAATACCTCTGGATCAAGAGATCCCA